AAACGATCATTGTTGCTTTTCTGTCCGGTCGCCCGTATCGGCAGTACGTCACAGACTTCATGAGGTGCCTGTACTTCTCCATGAACGGTCTGTCTCTTAGGCGGTTTGCTCCTGTATCGGGGTTCTCCAGAAACCAGCATATGGGCTTCAGCATGTCAATGATAGCGAAACAGGCTTCTACAGTTGCGTCTGCGACTCTCAAATCGTCCTCTGTTTTCTCTGCGTCCCGTTGACTGTTTGCTGCTGAATACCGTGTGCATGGTGGAGAGGTCCACACTATGTGCCAGTGCGTGTCTCTTATGACTGATGGAGCGGATCCGCCTTTTATGGCTTCGGCAAGATCTTCCACTTTCATCAGCACATCTGGGGCGCATTCCGGTTCTGAGTCCACTGTGCATACGTTGAACAAGTGTGAGACTCCCGATCTTTTTAATGTCCGCATTATACTACCGCCGCCTTCCCCCGAGCAGCAGTCTAGTACATTTATCTTTTCTCCACTGATGCCCAAACTCTTAACCCAATCTTTGACCTTCGAACTCCGCCCGGTGCTGAACGCTCGCGCGTCTAAGAGCATCGTCCCACTTGGTGTCTCGGTGGTCGCTGCGCTGATTGCCGCTAGTAGCTCTCTCTGAGCACTGCTCTGTTTGGAGGCATCCAGTGCTTCATATCCGGCCTCTGGGCTGCTCGGGAGCGCGTGGTGTCCGTAATATGAAGGCGGGACTCCTGCCGTCGTTCGTGATGATCGACGCGGTGGTTCAGGTCCTTCTTCTTCCTGCGCCAAGGCCGGCAGATCTCTGGGATCTGCGTCTCCAAAAGCGCTGGGGTCTTCAACATCCTGTTCTGGAAGCCCTTGTAAGAGGAAAGAGTCGTCTTGCGCATCCACGAATTCCCCGTCCGCGAGCTCGCTCTCGACGCCCCTTGCTTGGAATTCTTCGGCCTCAGTCTCCGCCTCCCCAATGCTGGGTGCGTCGGGTGCGTCGAGCTCGGACGTCTCGACAACGTCGGAGGGGTCGTTGCGACCGTGTGCGTCCGCCTCCTGAGCGGTTTGTGCCTCGCTGATGTGCTGTTGCGCGCGGTGCGTCGCTTCTTGTTCACGCAGTGGTGCGTCTTGATCGTCTCCTGCGCGCTCATTCGTGACTACGGGTGCGCCAGCGCCAGCGGGGAACTCAACAACAGGTACTTGCTGCTGCTCTGGAGCCTCGCATGACACCGGTGGCACGCGTGCTTGGCGTCTGTTGCGCGGGAGGGGTTGTGGAGGGGGCGGGTGATCAGGCGCGTTACTAAAGGTAACGCCCTCCGGATTGCCAGCTCCTCCAGGTTGCATGTACTCGGATCCTGCGTGCAGCGGCACCGTTGCCAACGTATCCCTCGAGACGTTCGCTCGGATAATCAACCGTCGGTGCGTCGGACGCGTACTTTCCCAGTCGCCTGGGAGTACGTTGAACCCGCGCCGATGGTGACGGTCTCCCATAAGCTCGTAACCCACGATATAACCCGCCACTCCTTTGGGCGTGGATTTCGACGTTCGCGACGGGTCCTTGAACCAACACGGCTCGCCAAACTTGAAGAACCAGGAGCTCTGCGGTGCTTCTCCGGTGAGTCGTTCGTACGGCGACGAGTGCGGTCGCGCGTACATAACGGGAGCGGACGTCGGCTGTATGTTTGTCATGTGTACAGCATACAGGACCGTGGGCAGCCACAGGTTGTACGCCTGGGCGCCTGTCACGTCCAGCTGCGCCTTCACAGAAAGCGCTTGGACGTCTCTCCACCTTCCTTCGACGACGCCGTTGCGCCAAGGTTGGTCGGGGTCGCCGGGTTGAAGGTCCACGCCCCTTTCGAGCGCCCACGCGCTGACGTCGGCGAAGAACTCGCTTCCGACGTCCATGTGCAGGGCACATAGGCGTATATCCTTTGGGAACAGCTATGACCATGGTCATAGCTGATACAGCTATGACCATGTTCATAGCTTGTTCCAATACCGGGACGACCCGGTTGGCGGAAAATATCGGGAGAAACCTTAGGGATGTGGGCGTTAAACGTTCCCTGGGGCACCGAGTGCACGTTCGCGGCGCCGCGCGCGGCGTTCGACGACGGATCGATCGACATCGTCCTCGTCCAAGCCGCGAGCCGTAAGAGCATGCTCAAGCTCCTCCTCGATTTCGATTCCGGCCGCCACGTGAACCACCGCGCCGTGCGTTACTTCAAGGCGAAATCCTTCGAACTCATCCCTGGTCCGAGTTCGAGCGCCAAGTCCGGCGGATACATCGCCATCGACGGCGAGGTCGCGGCGCGGCGGCACGACCCGTCGCCCGCCATGTCGCCCTACGGCCCGCTTCGATGCGACGTCCATCGCGCCGAAGTTCGCGTCTTCGCCCCGACGCCCGCGATCGAGTGAAACGAGTAGAAACGGACCCTTAATATCATCTCGATCGTTCTAGTCCGCCCACTCCGCCCACTTCCACGCTGTTCGATCCCTCGCCGCGCGCGTCGTCCCCGCGCGATGACAACCCTCAGTCTCGGTGGTCACGCATCGCGATCGTCACCATCATCGCCGCTCTCGCGCTCACTTCTCGTCGTGATCGCGCGCGCGCGGGCGCAAACGGAAGGTGAAATCATGGCGGACGAACCCATCGCGGACGCATCGGCCGAGACCCAAGAGGCGCCGAGTAAGAAGGCGCTGAAGAAGGCTGCGGCGGCGGCCGAAAAGGCGCGATTGAAAGCCGAGCGCGCCGCCGCGCTCGAGGCGAAGATGGCGGCGCTGAGCGCGGCTGCGGACGCGGAAGACCCTTTGAAGGATAAGTACGGCGACGCGGAGATGGTGCAGAGCCAGACGAAGAGCGGTCGGCGATGGACGCGAGTGGAGGACCTGAGCGGGACGCTCGCGGACGAAGAAGTCCTGGTCCGAGGACGCGTGCACAACGTGCGAGGGAAGGGAAAGAGCGCGTTCATCGTGCTGAGACAGCAAACGGCGACGGTGCAGGTGGTGCTGTTCGTGGACGACGTTCACGTGAGCAAGGGGATGGTGAAGTGGGTATGCTCGCTTCCGCGGGAAACCGTGGTCGACGTGCGAGGCGTCATCGTGCGACCGGAATCCGGTGAGGTGGAGTCGTGCACGCAGAAAGACGTGGAAATCTCTCTCAGAGAGATTCACTGCATCTCTCGATCGGTACCGACGGAAGATTTGCCGTTTTTGATCGAAGACGCGTCGAGACCGGAGACGGCTTTTGAGAATGAGAAGGCGCAGTACGTGCGCGTCGGGCAGGACACGCGATTGGATAACCGTGTCCTCGATCTTCGCACGCCAGCGAACAACGCGATCTTTAAAATTCAGTCCGGCGTGGGTACGCTCTTCCGCGAGGCGCTCTTGCGACGCAATTTCACCGAGATTCACACCCCGAAGCTCATCGCCGGCGCCTCCGAGGGCGGCGCCGCCGTGTTCAGGCTCGATTACATGAAGCTAGGCCCGGCGTGCCTCGCTCAGTCCCCGCAATTGTACAAACAAATGGCCATCATGGGCGATTTAGAGGGTGTCTTCGAGATCGGCCCGGTGTTCCGCGCCGAGGACTCGAACACGCATCGCCACCTGTGCGAGTTCACTGGTTTAGACATGGAAATGTCCATCAAGGAGCACTACGATGAGGTCTTGGACGTCCTCGACGAACTTTTCGTGAGCATGTTTGACGGTCTCAACGAGCGATTCGCGCGAGAGATCGGGGTGGTGGGCACGCAGTACCCATTTGAGCCCCTGCAATACTGCCGCCCGTCCCTGCGCCTGACGTTCGCGGAGGGCGTTAAGATGCTTCAGGACGCCGGCGTCGAGGTGGACCCGCTCGGTGACATCGGCACCGAAACCGAACGTATCCTCGGGAAATTGGTCAAGGAGAAGTACGGCACTGACTTCTACATGCTCACTCGATATCCCATCAACGCGCGACCGTTCTACACGATGCCGGCGCCGGACGATCCCAACTACACGAACTCCTTCGACATTTTCATTCGGGGCCAGGAGATTATCTCCGGTGCGCAGCGTATTCATGACCCGAAGTTGCTCGCTGAGCGCGCCCTGGCGTGCGGGATCGAGCTCCCGACGATCCAGTCGTACATCGACTCGTTCAAGTACGGCGCCACGCCGCATGGAGGCTGTGGCGTCGGTCTCGAGCGCGTCGCCATGTTGTTCCTCGATCTGAACAACATTCGTAAGACGTCGATGTTCCCGAGAGATCCGAAGAGGATCGCGCCGTAAGTAGGTTTGGTCGTCTGCCTATCATACGCTACACTAAAAGCTAGCTGCTACAATTAAATTTCCATTCAAAGTTTCAGTCCTGTCATCGAATCTCATCCTCGAATAACGACGCCACCGCCTCGAACGCGACGAATGATATGGGGAATCCCAGCGTTATTCTCGCTGCGGTCACCGCAGTACCTTTGTAGAACGCGGTCGGGCCTTCGGTACGCAGTATCTTCGTCGCCGCCTCGGTCATCGTTGGGTACTCGAGCGCGCCGCTTGCGTTCGGCACCTGTCCCTGCATTCGGCTCTTCAGTATGTCAAAGGGCATCTTGAACGCGGTCGCGACGAGTCCTGCGACCACACCGACGCCGATATTTTGCGATGCTTGCTGAGAGAACGATTCGGGCGACGGAAGGTACCCCTTACACCACTGAATCGTCCCAAAGTAACACGAATTGAAGACATTGTTCCGCAGACACGTCGGCCAAAATCCCGCGTATAATCCACGCATTCCTTCCGTTCGTGCTATTTCTCTCGCGCACGACAGCGACGATGCGTATCGATGCATGTTCTCTTTCGTCTGCATCCGCACTTTGACCGTTTCGAACGGCGTCACGCACGCGCTTTCCGCGTACGCCGTCAACCATCCCGCCGCGAACGCCTCCGAAGTCGTCATCGCCCGCGCGTCTTTGCTCACCAATTTCTTGCTCCACTCGAACCCAACGTACATGCACAGCGCCTGCGGTCGCATGCACGCCGGGAGGACGCCGCGATAGAGCGATGTCACCCCGTGCGTCGCCGCTTGCTCCCTCAACGCCCGCGCGAACGGCGTCACCGTCCCCTTCGTCACGTGCGCCTGCGTCTTCACCACGTCCACGGGGTGGCACGCCATCGCATCCTGCGCTCGACGGAGACGAAATAAAGTCAGCGCGATGGCGCGCGATGGCACGACGCCCGAGCGGCGCTCGCGAGCGAGAGAGCGACATCGAGAGGTCATCGCTCGCACAAAGTGTACTTTTTGTCCCATCGGCGGCGCTCGCGAACGACGACGATCGAGGAACGCACCGCGCAACCGGCGACGAAGCCGGCGATGATTTCTTCGTGCGGACGGAGGGGCATCGAGAGAGGTGACCGCGACCGGGGGCGACGAGCGGTGAGGCGTATCGATGGACGTTGCGAGAGGCAGGTAGTAGTTACATGGTGTCGCTATGTGGCTCTCGATGCGAAGAGGCGTTCATGCAAAGAAGCGGTCTTGGGAGGATTTGACGCACCCCCATGAAGGGTCCACGCTCCCGTGATGGTACCCACGCGCTCGGAGTAGAGGGAGAGCGGGACGCTGAACGTGGACGACCCTGGCAGAGGCGCGGCGCACGTACCGAGCTTGGTCCCCGTTCTGCTATCGACGACGGTGATGACGGCGTAAAACGAGGCGTAGGCGCTCATGTCGAGACGTTCAGGGAGCTTTCGCTCGGAATCGGATTCGTCGTCGTCAGACTCCAGCTTTTTTACCTCGACCTGAGACTTGTTTCGCCTTTCAGCGTTGGCTTCGTCTTCGTCGTAACCCAAGATGCACGTCGGCAGATCGTCCGCGCAGAAGGAATACGTACCGACCGTCTTGGGTTGAGATTCGTCGCGATCGACGTGCGCGGAACTCAAGTCTTTGGGCTCTGGAATCGTGATTCGCGCGTGCGGCACAAAGACGTGCACCCACACGCTGCCTCCTAAGACTTCTCCATCTTTGAAATTTCGCGTGACATGAAGCGACGTCAGACTCAAGTTCGCACGTGGAAGGGCTCTGACCTCTGGAAGCGAGCGTAAGCGCACGCGAAACCGCGCGAAAACTGGCGCGTGATCCGACGTCGTCACCTCGTGACACGCTCCGTACTCGACGGGTTTGCACGATTCCGACGCCCCTGGCGCAGAGTGCCACAGCACGCGATCGCACCAGGACGGAACGCGTTTAGTGTTGTAATACGCCGGCGTACCCGGCTCTGGTCGACTCGTGTCCGTCATCGGTTCGGCCCCGGAAGAACATATTCTACCCTTTGACGCCGACGACTTGACCGTCACCCGCTTGAAGGTTGGGACGAATGCAAGCGGCTGCTCGGCGAAACCGTGCATCACTCGTCCCTCCTTTCGTGACCGCGTAAGTTGATCGGCCTCGGCTAGTCTTTGGAATTCGCGATTAAATATCGCCTTGCAAACCGCATCACGTCCCTGCACGAAGGGAGACGCTTCCCCACCCTCGTCGTCGGATTCCTCTTCGACCATGCCCGGTTGCGCGGGTGGACGCGCCGCGGCGATACCCCCACCCGCTCCCGGCTGATCGGCGTTCGATCCGGGCTTCAAATCCGATTCCTTGCTCCAGTGCGTGTCCCACTCGCCGCCGATCACCTTACCCGGGTCGATGCGGTAGTTCAGATCGCCCATGAAGAAGACGTGCGTGGTCGAATCCAACAACTCGGGCGCCTGGTTGCGCTGTGCGGCGCGGACGCCTTTCAGCCCGAGCTTCGCCCCCGTGGTGTTCTCGATCGCTTCGGTGGTCATGCCGACCACTGTTCGACGCGTCCACGAGACTTTACTCATAATCTCACTCGCCCCGTCGTACAGAGTGGTGTTCACGTCGGTGACGTTTGGCAGCGCAAACTTCACCCTGGGCTGCGCCGAGCGCCACACCCATCTCAAGATTTCGGGCACCATGACGTTCCTTGCCTGCAAAAACTTTGGTTTCTCGTGCGCGGCGAGGTGGCACGACACGAACCCGATGGTCTCTCCGTTCTCGAGCTCGACGTGCACCAGCAAACCCCCTTTATTCCCGTGCAAGTTTCCGAGCCCCGTCGCCTTGGTTCCAACCTTGACGGAGCGCACCATGGACGCGACGTCCTTCTTGACGAAAACCGCGAGTCGCATCTGGAGCAACATCTCGCTCTGTAGCATCTCGAACTCGTCTCCCAACGAGCTCGATAAAAAGTCAAACCAGTGTATCCTTCCCTTGATCTCCTGCACCAGTTTCTTCCCCGTGAACCATCCGGTGAAGGTGCCGCACAGGGCGCCCGCCGGGGAAAACGTCAACACCCCACCCGCGAACGCCCCCCCGGCCATGATCCCCAACCGCGTCCACTTGGTCGATCTGAAGAATCCCCTACGCTTGAAACGACTCGCGAACGTTGTCTCGTCCCCGCACGCCGCGCTCACCTCCTTCGCCTTGATTGTCTTTTTCGTCTTGACGTAACTCGCCTCCTGCGCCCCGAGCGCGACGACGTCCGCCCCCCTCGCCTTCATCAACCACTCCGTCGCGCACGTCACATCGGGCGCCTTATTTCCAACGTTCCACGTCCCGCAATAAATCTCGAGACTCTCCCGTCGGCGTCCCGCCCGCGCGCGTCGGAACGACTTTGAATTTTCCAACAGTACCGTCGCGTCGCGCCGATGTTCCTCCGACATCTTCACCGCCGACTTCACCGCCGGCGCCGCCCCCGACGCCTCCACCGGGGCGTTCCTCGACGCCATCGCGTCCGCGCGCGCGCGCGCGTCCGCGCACGCGTCGTCCGTCGTCGTCCCATCGATCGTTAACGGTGACGTTGAATTATCCCACGATCGCGTCGACGTCGACATCCTCGCGCGCGCGTCGCGCTCGGTCCAACGCGCGCGCGCGATCGCTCGCACGCGTCCACCGCGCGCGTCCGTCGTCGCGCGCCGCGTCGTCGCGCGCGCGATCGACGCGCATCGACGCGGGAATCGATCGCGCGCTGCACGGTGTGCTAAACCCTAGGTGTACACCCCACACCCCGACCCACGATCGCGTCGACGCCGACGACGCCGCGCGACGCCGACGATGCGGACGACGCCGAGGACGCCGACGACGGTCGTCCGCGGACGACGACCGCGAGCGACGCGGGCGACGCGCTGGGCGAGAGAGCGAACGATGGGGCGTGGACGATGGATGACGTCCACGGGACGAACGCGCGCCGCGCGCGCAAACGACGAGGGCGCGATCTCGGACGACGAGGACGGACGGACGAGCGCGGAGGCCGAGCGGTTGGGACGCACGGGACGGCGGAGCGGTGACGCGGAACGGATCGCGAGGGAGTACGAGGAGCGAGAGCGGGAGACGATGCGGCGGTCGAGCGGGACGCAGTACGCGTTCGGGAAACCGCAGTCGCCGAGAGAGACGTGGGAACCGTTTGCGCGGAAAGCGAGGGTTGGATTATTAGAGGAGCGGGCGAGAGGGGCGGCGTGCGATGCGGTGCGAGCGTCACTTCACGTGTGCGTCGAGGATGACGCGTTCAAGTCGCGAACGAGCGTGGAGTTACCGAGAGAGGCGTACGTGAAGAGAATGGATAAGCTCGTGAACGAGTTCGTGCAGAGGGATTTGTCGTACATGAGCGTCGAGGACAAGGCGGACGCGCGGAAGATGGTGGACGCCATCGAGCGGTACCTCTTCGAGGAGCAGCAGTACCGAACCCCGCAAGGCTGGCGCGAGGCGTTTTCGCCGTACAGGACTTATTTCCACAATGTCATCGCCCAAAAGATTGGGATTCCGGCGACGTTGGCGGCGATTTATCTCGGGTTTTTAGATAGGTTGAAGACGAGAGGCGAGCTCGACGCGTGCGGAGACATTCGTGTGACGCTTCGCGTCTCTCGCGGCGCCGACCCGACGCCGCGGCGACCGATGGGAATTACGGCCGATGAATCGTGTCCCAACGGCTCCGTTGTCGTCACGGGCGATGACGTCGTGCGCATGCAGCTCATGGCGCTCAAGCGCGCGTTTTGGCCGTGGGAGTGGGACGACGCGCGAGACTCCGGGTTCCTGCTCGCCATCGAAGCCGCGGCCTACGGTAAAGACGATCGCATGAACACCGCGGCCGGGGTGGTGGGAATCATTCAACCCACCGGAAGGCCGTTCGGCGACCTTCCAATGGCGCTCCTGGTCACCGAACGCCTCGCCGAACTCGATGGAAACGTCGGTTACGAGCAGCGAGACATGGGCGTCTTGCTCTACCACAGCGGCTACAGACGGGACGCCCGCGACGCTCTCGTCGCTTTTGAGCAATGGAAAGCCACGGCAAAGTTGGCCGCGGTGGAGGTCGACGACGCCACGGACGCGCCGAGACCGGATTTCCAATGGGTCGCGGGCGACCCTGTGGAGGCGGCGCGACTCAGCCTTCGCGAGGACGAAGCGTTGAACAAGCTCCTCCTCGAGCTCGATCGCGACAGTCTTGAGCACATCTTCGACTCGTAGTCACCATTGTCACACGCATGATTCGCGTCCACGCGTCCCCGAAATCGACCTCTTCGCTCCCTCGCGTTCGCCCCTCCATCCCGGTGTTTCTCAAAAATATCTTTGAAAAATATCCTCTCAAACGCAACCACGCCGCCGCACTCCGACGCGTCGAGCGAGGCGTCGTCCCCATCGACGCCCTCGACGCGCGCGGTATCGCGAGCGTCGTTCACACCCATGTGCGTCGCCTTCATCGCCATCTCGGGACGAACCGCGGACGCGGACGCGTCGAACGCGACGGCGCGCGAAAACGTCCAATTGGTCATCGCATTCAATCGCGACGAAGATTACGAGCGACCGACGAGCTCGGTGCGAACGTGGAGCGATACCGCGCGGGATGGAACGGAGAACATCGTGGGCGCGCGAGACGACCTCGGGGGGGGGACGTGGATGGCGGTGTGTAAACGCACGGGACGGTGGGCGCTGCTGACGAATGCGACGGACGGGTCGGGGTCAAAGGGCGAAACGAAGACGACGAACGAGAGCTCGAGCGGGGTGAATCGAGCGCGTGTGACGAGAGGTGAGCTCGTGACGACGTATCTCAGGCGAGACGTCGACGGTGAGGCGTACGCGCTTGAAGTTTTTGCGAAGCGCTTCAACTATGACGGTTTCAATCTCGTCGTGGGCGACTCGACGAGACGATCGGCGTTTTGGGTCGGAAACAGGGGCTCGGCGAACGCGAAGACGCCGATGAAGTTGATGGAGGGGCGAGTCTACGGGTTGGCGAACGATGTCTTGGACGCGCCGTGGCCGAAGGTGGTTCGCGGCAAGGCGAAGATGGAAGAAATCTTACGCGCCTTCACGGAACTCGCTCCGGAAGCTCGAGGAACGCGCGCGCTCGAGGAACGCATCCTCCGCGACGTCTTACACGCCCCGGTCGAGAGCGTGCATCCGGTTTCGCGAACGAGCGCATCGACGCGCGTCGTCGTCGGTCCCGCGTCTTTGTCGCGCCCTCGACGCGTCTCCGACATCGAAGTCGACGCCGACGTAGACGGCGACCGCATCGAGGTGGACTGCTCGGACGACGAGGAGGAATACATCGATTTGCCCGTCGAACAGATCGAACCGCACGAGAGCGAGAGTTCGTTCGTGCGTCCGGGCGAGCTCCCGGGACGGCCGAACTGCGGCACCCGAACGTCCCAAGTCGTCGTCGTCTCCGCCGACGGTCGATGCTCCTGGCTCGAGCACCACTTCGTTCCGAACGTCGAGAAACCCAAGAGGGGAGACCTTTTCTACTCCCCGGTCGTCGCTCAAGATCACGAGCGCTGCGAGTTCGCGTTCGGCGCGCGCGGAGCCGCCGCCGGCGCCGCGTGAGCGTCGCTCAGTGTTGACCCTCAGGGTTTAGGGGGCCTAGGCTGTCGGGACGCCCAGCTCGACCGCAGAGCGCGCCACGACGTTTGATCACACACACTTTCCGATCATCTCTCACGACTCAAACGATGTCCGCGCTCGCGTCGGCGTCTCGAGGCGCCTCGGCGGGCGCTCGAAGAGTGACGTCGCGCAGGATGTCGTCACGAAGAGCGAACCTACGAGCGGAGGCAACGACGAGCGCCTTTGAGACGTCCGAGGCGCTTCAGAGCGCGAAGATCGGAGAGGGCGCGTTTGGTAGAGGGTTGCTCGCCACGGGAGAGGGGAAGACGCTGGTGAGCGTGCCGATTGACGCGCTCGTGGTCGCGCCGGCGGCGGTGGGCGGAGGCGCAGGCGGAGCCAAGCGCGCGCGGGAGACGTACGAGCGCGGATGGAAAGAGATTCACGGCGTGGACGTGCCGAACGCGATGGTAGAGTTCGTCGTCAGCGCGCCGTTCGCGAAGGACGTGCGTCTAACGGCGATGTTGGCGTGGGCGTACTCGAACGTGGAGGCGTGGCGAGCGTACGGCGACGACGTCGTCCCGAGCGCGTTTGATAGCATGTACCTGGCGAGTGAGGAAGAATTAGACGCGTTGCAAGACACAGAGCTTCGCGTTATGGCCACTCGATCGAGGAACGGATACGAGGCGATGTGGAACGCCGCAATGGAGGCGAATCCCGAGGTGAAGTCTCTCCTCGCCGAGGTCGACGACGAGCGCCTGAAGTGGTGCCGGTCTTGGGTGCACACTCGAGCCATCAGTGGGGTCTTTGAGGGCGCCGAGCTCGCTTTCCTCGCTCCCGTGATTGATTTGGCCAATCATAGAGTGGAATCCACGGCGACATACGGCGTGAGCGCGGACGGAAAGAATTTTGAGCTCTCGTGGAACGAAAATGCCCCAGAGGGCGCGTCTCCCGTCGCGAACACGGAGGTCTTTATCAGCTACGGTGATCGCATGAACAACGCCATCCTGATGCTTCACTACGGATTCATCGATGATAACAATCGCAACGAGCGCTTACCCATGGAGTTCATCGCTCCGGGCGCACGAAAAGTTTTAGGAGCACGAGTCATCGAGGCGTGCGATCGCCTCAAAGCCGATGGTGATGAGGAAGCCGCCATCGCTGGTGCCAACCTCCTCGCCCTCGCCGCTCGAGGCCCACCGCCCGGTGTGGACGTCCCACCTCCACCTCCGACCGACCCCGAGGTCGTGAACGCCATTCGACAAGTTGTCGAGCAAACGCTCTCAGACAAGCCAACCACTGCCGACGAAGACGAGGCGCTCGTCGCCTCAAGCGAGTTCCAATCCCTCAGCCCCCGCACGCAGCTCGCCGTTCGCCATCGTCTGGCGCAAAAGAATATGGCGCGCGCGTACCTTCGATTTTTGAACGTTTTGCAGTAATATCCGAGTCCATTAATCGTCCATTTGTCCATCCCGGTTGGTCACTCTCCTCCCAAAAATAGCACTCGTCACTTTACGACGCTACACTCGTCGAAAATGCTCGCTCAAAAGGTCGAGCGACTATCGTTCAGAGTCGAGTGGTACGACAGCGTCCAAGAGCGGTCGTACGAGCTCGTGCTCCGGGCGTACGCCGACGGTGACGTCGAGTTGGTGCGTCGACTCGAAAGATGTTCAACTTTTGAAATTGACTAGTGATTGATTACTACGCCTCGTGTGCACGCGAATGAGACGCTGACGATGATTTAACGCCGACGCAGATCGATGAGGGTAAAAAGAGAACGTTCTTACGAAAGTGCGAGCCCGATCGAATGATTAAGCGCGAGGATTTATACCTCGGGAACGTGCTCACGGTGTACGCGAGACGGTTGACCATCAAGGAGTACGCGGACGACGTCACTAGAATCGCGGTGCACGAGCGGAGCGAAGAGGCGTGCGTGATCGTCGAGAACGATGATATCAACCGCGTCGGGCGGGTGATCGCGTCGATGCAGGCGAGCGGGATGACAGTGGCGGATGTGCGGACGGCAAAGTTTGACGGAATGCGCGCCGAGGAACTGGAGACGGCGCTGCCGAGACGAGGACGGGCGCTCGCGCTCGGGTCGGGTTTCTGCGCGATCAAGGTGATGGGAAGAGACGCAAACACGGTGTTGGAACGGATGTTCGGCGACGGCGTAGTTCGATCGACGGGTGAGGAGCACGCGCGTGCGCTGAGCGAGTTGGTGGCGACAAGCTCGAGCCAGCGCGTCGCAAGCTCGACGAACTCGTCCCTGGTCGTCATCAAGCCGAGCGGAATGGCGCACTTGGGGGAAATCATAGACGTGTTGATCGAGAAGCGCGGATTCGATCTCGTCCAGGTGCGCACAGCGATGCTCACGCGAGCCGAGGCAGAGTCATTTTACGCCGTGTACGTCGACGTCTTACCAAAGGAGGACGTGAAAATGATGGTTGACGAGCTCTCTGGCGGCGCGTGCGTGGCGTTACAGGTCACGCGAGTTGAGTCTCCGGAAACGCTCGTGGACGACGTCAGAGAGATCGTCGGACCGAGAGATCCGGAGGTCGCCAGAGCGCTTCGCCCAGATTCGCTCCGCGCCCGCTTTGGTGTCGATAAGAGCCAAAACGCCGTGCACTGCGTCGATCTCCCCGAGGATGGTCCTCTCGAAGTTGATTTCTTTTTCAATCTCAAACGTCGGACCGCGATCGCGTAGTGATTCGAGAACGGTTCGACAAAGAGCGCGCGCTTGACGACGAACTACTTTTGTAACTTTAGTATCAGAGACTCCTCTTCGTCCCGTCTCCTTACATGACTACGCACTCGCACTCTAAGTTCCTATCGATTAAACGTCCCAAATCAAACGACGCTTAAACATCGATCACTTGCAAACCCGGCGGAAGCGATTGCTTCAGCTTGGCCGCCTTGTCCGCGTTGTCGACGCACAAGGTGTACAAGTACTTCGAGCATCGAACCTTGAACTTGGTCACGCCCGCAGTCTTCTTGATCTTCACCGATCGCGCGTCTTTGCGTCGGGCGGTGTGCAAGAAGTCCTTGATTTCGCTAATTTGCTTCGGCTGTGCATCGGGTAAAGCGCGCGCGTGAGTCGTCAGTCGTTCGTTCGCCGCGGTCGAGGACGCGCCCTAGGTCCACCGCCGATGATTTTTTTTTAGGAATCCACGTCGTGACGCCCGCGTGACGGCGTGTACCCCCACGCGAGGGACAACGACGATACAACAGATTCTCAACGATCCCCACCCCTTCCTCGATCGCCCTTTCACCGCGCGCGTGACGTCGAGAGACACAGAAACGTTCGCTCGATCGCAACCTAAAGCCCTAAAGCCCCAGTCATCGCATCTTCCCGCGCCCTCGCCCTCGACCGCGCCCTCGACCCCGAGGACGCCCACCGACCGCGCGCGCGCGAATTCTATCCCCGTCGCGTCCCCGTCGAGGTCGTCGCGTCACGCACCATCGTCACCGAGCGCTCGAAAAAGACGGATCGCCGCCCACGTCGCGCCCGCTCGAGACGCGCGCGACGCGGGTGACGTCCACGGCATCACACATCCCGTGGACGCGTCTCCAGTACGACACCGACGCGGTCGCGTGCCCGCGTGGTGTTCTTCATGGATACATGACGTCTTCAATATGTATACGCCCCCACGACTAAACCCTACATCACCCCCGGCCATCGCCGTCGCGCCCCTCCGCGTCGCTCGTTTTTCGCCGTCGATCGGTCGCCGGTGACGGAGTCCCTCGTCGACGAGTGAACACTCAAGGATGGTCGACCCCACGCGTCCGAGCCGTCGCCGCGACGCCGCCGTCGGTTCGTCTGCCAGTTTTTCCACCGCGCGCGCGCGGCGGTCGGACGTTCGGGGTCGTCGCGCCCGGGGCGTTCGGACGTTCGGGGTCGTCGGACGCGCGGGGCGCGCGGGACGGGGTCGATCGGACGCGCGGCGAGGGGCGAGGGACGTGCGCGGTGGATATCGCGCGCGACGCGGAGGTGAAGATGGATCGACAGTCGGCAGGGCGCGACGGCGGTGACGACGGCGGTGGCGACGACGACGACGGCGACGACGACGGATCGATACGCGGTGAGGGACGACGAACGCGAGGAGATCGAGGCGACGACGACGTCGGCTCGGGGTGACGCCGCGGACGACGGACGCGAGTCGTCCACGGACGTCGTTGACCGCGGGCGGAGATATTTTACATCGATCGAACATCATGACCACGAGCGATCGGTCGCGGTCGAGCGCGGACGCGGAGAACGAGGCTCCGGAGGAGCGACCGACGCCGCACAACGCGCACGCGCACGAAGACGGGTACCGGTGGCGGAAGTACGGACAAAAGAACATCAAGGGGTCCCGACACCCGCGGTCATATTATAGATGCACCGAGCGCGGGTGCCCGGCGAGGAAGAAGACGGAGCTCGCGAGCGACGACGAGAGCGATGAGGACGAGGGAGATCGGATGCGAGTGACATACGAGGGGGTCCACACGCATCCCAAACCGTCGCGCGGGCGAGGGCCGAGTATGCTGATGTCGATGGAGCCGCTTTGCATCGCGGCGACGCCGGAGCGGGCAACGAGCGGGACGTCCTCGGGAACCGTATTCGGACGACGACGAGGGCGGGAAGAGGGGCAAACGGAGCGCGAAAAGCGAAAGTTTCACGAGTTCTCAATCAAGAGCGAATCACTCGAGACGCCGAAGAAACGAAGAAAGGAATCACCAGCCGCGAAGACGACACCGCGATCAAGGACGACACCGCAATCCAAGACCCCACCGAGACAGACGCCCAGTCGACCGAACCGCTCACGTGCGTCCGGCAGTCGCTCTCGCCAGCGCGAGCGCCGGGAGTCTTCGTGTAGCGCTCAAAACGCCGGAAGATCGAGCTCTTATCGCGCCAAGAAGCCGATGAAGCAGCCAGTGAATCCGACGCTGATGAGCGACATGATGACATGCTTCAACGAGTACGTCACGAACAGCGAGCAGTGGACTGCAAACGGGCATATCGGAGGCCACGTCGCCCCGTTCAAGTCCTCCGCGCTAGAGTACGAACACCATCGACGGCCCGTGGTCCCGCCGCCACCGCAGGAGCGCTCTTTATCGGACCGTCTCTTTGATTGGCTTCCCCTCTCGCCACTCTCGCCGACGTGGCCGTCTTGGCCCTTCGGCGACGCCGACCTTGAGGCCAAGCTCCTCAGATCGACCCCAGCGAGAGAGAATCAAGCCGTAGAGTACAACCATGATCACCGTGGCAACGTTTGCTCGTCCGGTCTCCGACGCGAACGCTCTTTCGAGGACCTCCGTCCCCCAGCGCTCACCGTCGCCGACGAACCTACGGCGCTCACCCACGACGAGCGCCGTCCCGACTGGTCCCTCGGCGAGTATCTCCGCTCGCCCTTCGAGTCCATCATCTCAAGCACTCCACTTCTCGCGACGCTCACGAAAACCATGCGCTCGTGGTGCGAGTCCCCATCCGCGGCCGCTCAAGCGCTCTCTCCTCTGGGCCAGGGCAGAGATTTCGCTCGTCCGCCGGGCTTCGTCGCTCGAAGACGCGCGCGATCCGAGACCTTACACCCGGACTCGCTGTACACCGCCTCACTCCGCTCGCCATTTCGCGCTTTTTAGCGTGTAATACATCAAACGCGCATTACGTACCGTCCACCGTCATGACCTAACGCGTCCCACATCCGAACCGTCGAGCGCCCCGCAGAGCGCGCCTCGCGTGGTGAAGTGAATTCAAGACATGGCGCTTCGTAAGATCGGCGACGACCCGTTGGACCGAGCGCGCAAGCTCGCGATCACACGAGCCGAGGCTCTGGAGGCTGAACGCGACGCCGAAGCCCGGGCAGCGTTCGAGGCGACGTTTAAACGCGCGAGAGGCCCGCCACCTACTTTACCACCGACTGGGAAATCCTTTAGAGATGTCGATCGCTTGACGGCTAGCGCGGAACAAGACGCGCAAGAGCGGGCGTTAAAGCTAGCGATGACGATCGTGGACGAGGAGACGAAAGATGAGCTTCGGTCGAGCGGTTTGGGACCTGGGGTGAGTGATCCATTGCGGGCGGTCGCGCGAGGGCCGGGCGTGGGCGGAGGCGTCTCAGGACGGGAGACGGAGTTCACCGTCATTTCGAGAGATGAAAGGGATGAGGCGGTCGAAGTCGGTGGGTCTAAAGTAGATTTTACTGTTCGTAGAGGGAGCGGCGTGCGGGCGATCGAGATCGCGACGGGGGAGGGGAGGGATGTCGGCGACGGGACGTACGTGTGCACGTACACCGTGAACGCCCGAGGCGATTACTTTGTCGAGGTGCGGATGAACGGAATCGAGATCTCAGGATCGCCGTTCGAGGTGTTTTATACCGCTTCGATGGATGGCCCGATGATGAGCGAGCGTCGGGCGTTCGTGGTGCCGAACCGCGCGGGCGGGGCGGAGTTGGCGGCGCTCGGGCTGTGCCGGGACTTTCTAGTGGGCAAGTGCGATCGCGTAATCTGCAAGTTTAGACACGACGCGCCGCCGCCACCGCCGCCGCTGCCGACGGATTCGGACGCAGTCGGCGTTGGGTTCGGGGCGCCCGCGGTGGCTCCAGAAGAGTTGAGACGCACGGCGCACGTGTCAAACTATCCCTCGGCGCTCACAGTGGAGCAGGTGAAGCAGTTGTTCTCGTTCTGTGGGACCATCGTGGAGTGTCGCGAGGGGCCTTCGGGGAAGAACTTTGCCTTCATCGAGTTCGAGTCGAATAAAGAAGCCTTGGCGGCGCTGGCTCTAAACGGGATGAACGTGGGCGGGAGGAACATTCGAGTAGAGTTGGCGAAGACGCCGAGGCTCATGCCACGCGCGACGGTACCCAGTCCAGCCCCGATCGCGCCCCCGATGGCAGCGGCGGAGGCAGCAGCGGCGGCGGCGGCGCGAGCAGCGGCTATCTCTGCGCGTTTGGTGGCCAAGTCAGAGGGGCAAGGCGCGGGAGTGCGTCACAAACCATATTGATTCGAAACGTGACGTTGAAATGTCCACAAAAAACTTTGTTGTTTTACAGTCCCCAGCATAATCCTAATATCGAGAGCGAATATTATTAACGTCAACGCGACCTCATCCTGGAAACTGGAGTGACGTAGCTCATGACTGATTGTAGACGTCCGCTACCCAAACGACGAAAATATTGTAGAGGGCGTACACGGCATAAGTGCCGACGTATGTTTGTCCCATTTTTCGCGTAATTTGGAACCCGTTCATCGCCACGGAGCTGACGTACATGAAGAGCACGCCGAGCAGGATGAGCGATGACGGTAACAACTCTGCTGTGGACACCACGATGTAGCTGGGATTCTGCCACGAAAGATATAACGTCCACGGAAGGCCAAGACCGAGCCAAATGTCGAACACGTTGGATCCGACCGCGTTGGCCACCGCCATGTCCGCGAATCCGTCCCTCGCGACGGAAATGGACGACAACGCGTCCGGTATCGAAGTACCCGCGGCTAAAACTGTCGTGCCCATCACCACGGGCGGGATGCTCAGAATGCACCCGATCCTCGCGCACCACTCCACCATGTAGTGTGAGATTACGCCAATGTACGCGACGGAGACGCAGAAGGAAACAATGTACCAATTTTCCCACTCTTTCCGGTGGCACGGCGGCACCGTGAACGTGAGCACGGTGTACCAGGGGAGACTAAGCACCCACATCGGTCGCTTCTTCCAGTCCTCGGGCATGGCGAACGGGTTCGTTTCTTCGTCATCGTCGTCTTCGTCGGCGTCTTGCTCATCCGCGGGCGAGCGAGGGCTCGGCGGGCGGTTCACGTGATGGTGGAACCAGGTGACCTTTTCCGTCTGCTGCCGGATCGCTCTGAGTTCACCCACGCTCAATGCTTTCTTAATCTTATTCTTGTCCAAGGCAGCCTTAAATCGCTGCGCGGCGAAGCCCACGTAAATTGAACCCGTCACAGAGAGCTGTTGCTTGATGTCGCCAGGTTCGTTTCTGCGACTTGCCTGGTCCTTCATCTCCACCGCGCCATCTCCGAGTCCATCCTCCATGTCGGACGCGGAGTCCGTCATTGATTTCATGTACTTGCCAAATTTTCGATCCAAGAGTTCCATGAAGTACTGATTCTTCCACATGAAGGCGATGTACAGCATGTACAGGCAGACGTAGATGAGACCCTCCCACCAGTTGACCACGCCCCCGTTGAAGGTGAGCGTGATGCCGATGATGGCGGCGAAATAAAAAGTGCAGTCTCGAGCGAGAGGCCTCCAGTCTAACTTGAGCGTTTCCCCAGCGAAGATGACCGTCGCGCCGATGATGACGAGAATATTGAAAACCGCGCTCCCGACGATTGTGCCGACGCCAATCGCGTTGTCCGCGCCGCTATTGATGAGCGACATGGCGCTCGCTGCGAGCTCGGGTGCGGACGAACCAGCCGCCATGAACGTCGCCCCCGCGACGTCATCGCTCAAACCAAGCCTTTCGCAGATCTTTTCCAGCGACGCGACGAAGAAATCGTCGCACACAATTGCGATGCCGATGAAGAGGTAGACGACCCCGACAAAGTAAGCGACGAGTCCGCCCTTCTTCTCCCAACTCTCCGTCGCTTTACACGTCGACGACGACAAAAGCTTCCTCCCGCCCCCACCCGCGAGGTCTCCGGCCGCTCGTCCCAAATCTCGCGCCGTGGCCGCGAGCGCGACCACCGCGAGCGCGCCGCACGCCAAACAAACCGCGAAGCCCCTATTCGGCGATCGATCGATCGAGCCAACTCGTCAGTCCAAACCACCCTCGCCCACATCACGCGCGCGACGATCACACACGCATCGGCATCATCCGCGTCATCCCCAGCTCCATCTCCATCGCCTCACCCTCGCCTTCGCGCGCGCGCCCCGCGCCGCCGCCCGCCTCGCCCCCCGCGTCGTCGCCGCGTCGCATCCGCACCTCCCCTCCCGTCGTCGCCGCGCTCGCATCCGTCGCGCGTCTCGCGGCGTCATCGTCCCGACCGATCCCTCGATCGTTCGTCCCCCATCGCCGCGAGCGTCCACGACGTCGACGCCCGTCGTCGTCGTCGTCATCGTCGTGCGTCGTTGGACGATCCGCATTCCACCGTCGCCCGCACCGCACCGTCGACGCGGGCGACGGCGCACGTATCGACGTCTTCGATCGACGCCACCGAGGGCGACGCGCGCGCGTGTGCGCGCCGTGGACGCGCGCGCGCGCGCGATGTCGACGCCGCGATCGCGATCGTCCACGTCCTGACCCATACACAGCTGTAAAACGGCGCTAATACGTATCGCGTCCCCGATCGCCGCGCCTCGACGACCGCGCGCCTCCACGTCCGCGCGCGCGCGTCGACGACGCCGTCGCCTCGATCGTCGTCCGCTCGCGCACGCGCGCGCGCGTCGACGAAGCGCGCGCGTGTGCACGGAGGGTATTCGGGACATCATCGACCGATGTATCCGCACCAACCGAACGGGGCGATGATGGGTGGACAGCCGCCGATGGGTGGACACCAGCCGCCGATGGGTGGACACCAGGCGATGGGTGGACACCAGGCGATGGTTGGACAGCAGCCGCCGATGATGGGACAGCCGCCGATGATGGGACAACCGCCCGTGGTGCCGATGGCGGGACCGGCGGCGACGGCGGCGGCGCGCGACGGGAGTCATCCGCACCGCCCGATCCCGGACGCGCGGGTGGCGCACGGACGGGGGGGGGCGACGACGTCGAGGATCGATCCGTCGCAGATTCCGCGACCGGCGTATGTCTCGCACGAGGAGAAGGTTGTGTACAACACGCGAAGCGAGACGGATCAGGCGACGCATCCGCCGGCGGCGACGCTGGAGTACGTGGGGTGCGACTTGGGGAGCGCGAATCCGAGATACATGCGAAGCACGATGAGCTCGCTGCCGCACTCGGGGGAGTTATTGTCGACGAGCGGGATGCCGTTGTGTATCATGGCGCGGCCGTTCGCGTTACCGCATCCCGAAGAGGCGCCGATTCCCGTGATCAATAACGGGACGATGGGACCGGTGCGATGCGGACGGTGCAAGGCGTACATGAACCCGTACATGCGGTTCTTGGATCACTTACGGTTTGAGTGTAACTTTTGTTACTTCGTCACCGAAGTCCCGCACGAGTACATGTGTAACTTGGGGGTGGACGGTAAGCGTACGGATTGGACCGAGAGACAAGAGCTGTGTAGAGGATCGGTGGAGTACGTCGCCCCGGATGAGTACATGGTGCGACCGCCCATGGCGCCGACGTACGTTTTCTTGATCGAGGTGACGTCGCAAGCGATCCACAGCGGCGTCACAACGAGTGCGTGCGAGGTAATCTCCAGGACGTTGGATAACCTCCCTTCCGGGGCGCAGGTTGGGGTCGCCACTGTGGACAGTACGATTCACTTTTATCATTTGAAGGAGGGCGCCGAGAAACCGTCGATGCTCATAGTTCCGGACGTTGACGATTCCTACGCCCCTTTGAAGAGTGGTCTAGTCGTGGACTTGGCGAAGAATAGATCGGCGATCGATAGCTTGCTCAAGGTGATTCCAGAGACTTTCTCAACGGCGTCGATGGGACCAAACGCGTCGACGGCGGGGATCAAGGCTGCGATCGAGTGTCTCAAGCCAACCGGCGGGAAAGTGATGGCTTTCTTGGCCACCATTCCGAACGTTGGGGTCGGTAAAGTCGAGGCTCGCGTCGGTACCGCCGGTCAGCGCACGGGAAACATCGAAAAGGAGCCCCTGAAGTGCATGGCACCGGCGAATAGAGATTATACAAACATGGCGATGTATGCCTCGGAGAACCAAGTGTGCGTGGACCTCTTCCTATGCGTCTCCTCCGCGGTGGACGTCGCGACGCTCGGCGTGTTACCGCGTCTGACGGGAGGTTCATTGTACAGATATCCGGGTTTCAACGTGCAGCAGGATTTCGCACAATTGCACAACGATCTGAGATGGAATTTTATTCGACCGCAAGGGCTCGAGGCGGTGATGCGCGTTCGAGCAAGTACGGGTCTGGGAGTGCAAGATTACAGCGGATTTTTCGCCAAGAGAACGGTGGCGGACATAGATTTAGCCGCCATCGATAGTGATAAAACGATCGCGGTGACGCTGAGATACGAAGACAAGTTGGTGGATGGGAGAGACGCGTACGTCCAGTGCGCCCTGTTGTACACGACAACAACGCAAGAGCGGCGCATTCGCGTGCACACGATCGCGCTTCCAGTGACCTCGGTCCTCGGTCAGCTGTTCAGATCGGCTGATTTGGACGCGCAGAGTAATTGGGCCGTGCGCCGAGCGGCGGATAAGCTTCTCACCGGCAACGGTACGCTCGCTGCGGCGAAGGACGCGTCGCTCCAGCAGTGCATCTCGACGCTCTTTGCCTATCGCAAGTTCTGCGCGAGCAATAATAGCAGTGGTCAGCTCATCTTACCGGAAGGTTTGAAAACACTCCCGCTGTATACTCTGGGGTTACACAAATCGTACGGCCTGCGCTCCGACGCGTCGCCGGACGATCGAGCGATGTGGTTGTATCGCGCACTGCACATCCCTTCCGAGCTCTCGACGCCCGCCGTGTATCCGAGGCTCTTCTCGGTACACGACCTCCCTCAGCACGGGGCTTTCCCTCCGATCCCGCCGTGTCTATGGCTCAGCGCGGAAAAACTCAACCAAGAGGGCGCGTACTTGCTCGAGGATGGACAAGAAATCCTAATCTGGATTGGTCGACAGTTGCCCTTGGAGACACTTCGAGCGCTCTTCGGAACAGAAAACGTTGACGAAATCATCTCCTCGAGAGCGACGCTTCCCGTGCTTGACACCGTGGAGTCGAAAACTCTCAATGCTTTCGTGAACGCCATCCGCAAACAGCGCGGTGCGTTTATGCGAACTCGAATCCTCAAGCGCGGCGACACGCTCGAGACGCTCTTTTACAACCGTCTCAGCGAAGACCGCTCGCCATCCGGGATGAGCTACGTCGAGTTCCTGTGCCACTGCCACCGCTTGATCATGAACAAATCCAATTAGCTGAATCACTAGGGCAACACGCAGCGTGTAATCGATCGTTTAGAAGAACCGATCGTCATCGACGTCTCCTCGCCAAGGCTCCGCTCCACCGCTGACTCCTCCCGTACCAATCCACACACCTCGTCGCCTCACTTCCTCACTACACGATAGCAAAGAACGCCAATATCCAAAAGCACGATGAAGATTGCGATCGAGGGATGCTGTCACGGCGAGCTCGACGCGATCTACGCAGCGATCGAACACTTATCGTCCAAGGAGAGCGTCGCAATCGACCTCTTGATTTGTTGCGGCGATTTCCAAGCCGTGCGAAACTTGGACGATTTAGAGTGCATGTCGGTGCCGGATAAATACAAGACGATGGGAACGTTCTACAAGTACTACTCGGGGGAGAAAACGGCGCCGGTACCGACGATTTTCATCGGTGGGAACCACGAGGCGGCGAATTACCTGTGGGAGCTCTACTACGGAGGATACGTGGCGCCAAACATTTATTACTTGGGACACTCGGGGGTGATTAAATTCGGTGATTTAAGAATAGGTGGATTGTCTGGGATCTTTAAATATCACGATTACAAGAAGGGACACCACGAGAGACCACCGTATCGCGGACACGCCGTGAAGACGGCGTATCACGTGCGAGAGTTTGACGTGTTCAAGCTCAAGCAGGTGAGAGGGGACGTCGACGTGTTTCTGAGCCACGATTGGCCGCGTGGGATCGCACAGTTCGGAAACAAGCACGAGTTGTTTCGAAAGAAGCGTTTTTTGAGGGAGGAAATCGAGAGCAATACCTTGGGGTCACCGCCGGCGGAGGAACTCTTGAAGAGACTGCGACCGAGGTACTGGTTCTCAGCGCACTTGCACGTGAAGTTCGCGGCGTTAGTGAAACATGAGGACGAGAAGACGACGAAATTTTTAGCCTTAGATAAGTGTTTGCCGCAGAGGGACTTTTTACAGATCATCGATCTCCCGGACAAGGACGCCGCGGGAGGTTTCACGCTCGACGAGGAGTGGTTGGCGATTCTCAAGGCGAACCACGAGTATCACTCTGTGACTCAACGTCCGTCGCCTTTGCCGGCGTACGGCACCCCGGAGGCGGTGGACTTAGAGCCCCATAAAAAGTGGATGAGCGAGAGATTACAATCATCTGGGTCGGCGACGACGACGCCTCCAGAGTTTGTGGCCACGCGCCCGGCGCACGACCCGTCCGCCGAGACGCGGCGTCGAGGTCGCGCCCCGACAGATATCGATACGAATCCGCAAACGAAAGCGCTGATGGATTTGCTCGAGCTTGATTTGAAGATAATCACGCCTGGCGGTAGTGAGAACGATCAAGATGTGCAGTATCATCGCGTCCCACGACCAGGGCCTTTCGGCGCGGGTCCACCGCAGCGCCGCCCGCCTCCGCCACCAAAGGTCGCGGACGAGGCGGAGATAGAGCTGTGACAACGAATTAGGAAAACTAGGTTGTAAAATTTAGTTATGCAACACCATGCTCGCTAAGGTTCTGACGAAAAATAAATCTAATCCGCCTCAGATGGCGGCGCCGGGGGAGGCGGCGACAGCTCCTGCGGCGGAGGCGCCGTTCGCATAGTCTCCTCTTTCTCCTCCTTTCCAGTTTTGTCGGCCTCGGTTGAGTTCATCGCCTTCTTTGCTAACTCATACCCCGCAAAGTTCATCGCTCCCAGAGGCGCGATCCAGGCCATACGAGGGATGGCCCCCTTCATCAACGCTAACGGCCCCTCGGTTTTGACGATGTGCGCCATCGACATGAAGAGTGGCTGGCCGAGCGGCACGGAGCCGGTCATCGTCCGCGTCTTCATGACATCGAACGGGTTCACCATGACGGAACCGAGCGCCCCGGCACACGCACCGACTATGATGACTTGATAGTTTTCCAGTTCGCGACCACCCTTGAGGCCGACGGCTAACTTTTTCAAGTTCTCATAAATCATCAAGCCGGTGACGTAAAACGGAATCTCACGTGTCAACGTGGCCGCTGTGCCCGCATACAGCGCGCGAGGATTTGTCGACGTGATTCCCTTCGCAGCAGCGATAACGTTCGGATACTGATCCGTCTGCAAACGCTGCTTCAGTACCTCACACGGGATGCGCACGCACGTCCCGAGCAGGGTCCCGATACCAGAGCCGAGGCCCTGAATAGTCGTCTCAGTTACCATCGGAAGAGCTAACGCCGGAGCCAGAGCTATGCACACAACCTCATACGTTGCCGTACGCAAGCCGTGACCGGCGAAGTTCCCGGTTACTGACGGAATGATGCCTTGATACATTTTCCGAGGACCGAGCTTAGGCACGCTTTTGATCAACTCGAGAAGCGAAGGACCCTTACCGACGGCAGCTTGCAGACGAGTCTTGAGCGTGTCCAACGGGTGCATCATCGAAGTCGTCGACGCCGAAGCTAAACCTCCGGCGAAGGCTGCGCGAAGAGCCATGCCCACGCTTCCAGCTCTCTTTGGCGGGCTAAACTGCACGATGGTCGCCGCCTCGAACCACAATCGAGATGGATCGGTCTCGCGCGCGACCTCTTGTGGCATGAGCATCAAAAAGTTGCGAAACTGACCGTACGTCACGTATCCCTGCCTCGTGTACTCCGAGCTCCCTCTCAGATACCGCACCATTGACTTTGCGTTTTCATCCGTCGCGGCCAAACCTAGGCGTTCGAGCACCTGCTTGACGTCCGACGTCTTGAGCAAACCGTTTCGCGACATCGACATGGAATTGAACATTCGAAGCACAGTCGATTCACGCTCGCTCATGACGCCGTGGAAGTCTTCCCAAGAGATGGTTCGAGCGAAAATATTCGGTCCCTTGGCCCGATCCATGAAAGCCTTGGCGTACCGCGGCGGTAAATTTCTCTTCTTCATCGCCTGCTTCAGGTCGTCCAACGACAGCTTCCCCTTCTTAGATCTGTCCACCTCATCGAAAAATTTACGCCCTGTGCACGCGATTCGATCACGTCCTCGTCAGTCGTCTCGTTCGATCAAAGACGCGAGCCCCCGGGCGCCCTCGGAACGCCTCCGTCTCCGCCTCCGCCTCCGCGCGTCCACGCCCGCGTCTACTCGCTTCGTCCGTCGTCTCGTCGTCTGCACACGCACCCTCTTCCTCGGTATACGCGAAAAAGTCCGCCACGGCGTCTAATCGTCTCTTATCCGGGTGATACTTTGCCTCGGTTTGCTCTTGACGAATGTCCTCGATGAGCGCCTTAAGATCCTCGACGTTTGGAACCTTCAAGTCTCGAACCATCTCTCGAGTTTTACCTCGAACGCGATCGAGTCGTTCCTTCAGCGCCTCACCGTCCATCTTCCCTCGCCCCGCGTCCAATTTCGCCAGGAACGCGGGCGCGCGTCCGAGGAATCGCCACGAGCGGTCGCCCGCCCGCGTCCCCGAATCCGTCGTCCCCGACCCCTTTTCCGCCGTCGTCATCCCCCGCGCGGGGGCCTCGCGGAGGCGTATCTCTTCCTCATCCCCCTCGCTCGCTCTCGAGCGCCCCCGTCGTCGCGGTCGACGAAGCATCGCCCCCGTCGTCGCGCCATCGCGTCGTCCCCGACGGGGGCGCGCGTGCGACCGACCGCGCGGTGTCCGACCGACCGCTCGCCGCGCCCGCGCGATCGACCGACCGATCGACCGTTCGTTCGGTCGATCGATGCATCGATGCATCGTTCGATCGACCGTTCGATCGATGAATCGATCGATTCATCGAGGACGCCGCGTGCGTGGAAGACGGATCGACGGTTCGTGGACGTCGCGCGCGTTGACCGCGAACGGGACGACGGCGCGACGGCGCGACGGCGCGAGACGACGGCGCGCGAGGGCGAGGAGACGGTCGGTGGGGGGGGGCGGACGAACGACGGCGCTCGTCGGAGGGCTCGGGTGGACGCGGGGGAGGGATGACGACGACGATGGGTGACGGTTCGTCTTTGACTCGAGCGGTGTTGCACGACGTCGGGACGCAGGAGGGCGCTCGGTCGATCGAACGGGCGATGGAGACGGAGAGGGGGGGGGGGAGGGACGTCGGAGTGGCGTGCGCGGAGGAATCGTCGCGGGACGGGGGAGGGGGTCGAGCGAGGGTTGGCGGCGGCGGCGCGCGCGTGCGAGGACGCGTTGCGGGCCGCGAACGCGCGAGACGTGAGGAACGAGTTCGCGTCGTTGGGACTCGGGCGAAACGCTTCGGTGAAGTGTGAAGGCATTAGAAATGCGATGGAATCCACGGAGGGGCGCGAGATCTATACGAATTTATCGCACACGCACGGGAAGCGGGCGACTCGCGTTGACTTTGCGCGCGTTCGAGGCGCGGACGTCATCGCCGTGTGCTGCGGAGAAGACGTCGAGAAGATTCACGCGTCGAGGAAAGAAATTTTCGTCGGATCTGTGGTCGTGTGGGACGTGCGTGACACGGTGAACGAGCTCGCGATTCTCGAAGCGCGAAGCGAGGTGACGTGTTTCGCAATTACAGATGACGGACGAGTCGCCGGCGGCTTGGCGAACGGTCGCGTTGCGATGTGGGAACTTCCCCGTTCGGCGACGAAGCAGAGCGCGACAAATATTTGCAGGTCCAACGAACGCGATCGAGCGCCGTTGATATCGAGCGACGCGCACGATTGCGCCGTGTTTGACCTAACGTGGGTCGGCAGGTTTGTCGTTTCAGTCGCCGGTCGTTGCGCGCAGATTTGGGATGTCGATGGCGGATGTTGGCGCGTCACGAAGACGATTGAGATTGGATTTCACGTAGATTCATTCTCGACGTCGGATTTATCGACGAACATTTTACTCGCGTCGTCTACCGGTGACTTTGCAGTTCTGCGGAACGACGAGTTTGAACTACAAGTCAAACCATCCACACCGACTCGAGTCGTGTCCGTCACGCAGTCGCCGTACTATGAAGACATCGCTCTCGTGATCGGCGACTACTCGTTCCGCATACAAAACATCAACACTGGAGAAATATTACACACCAGTCCGAACGTGGACTGTGGGCTAATTGCCGGTGCTTGGTCTCCAAAGCCAAACATCTTGTTCATCGCGAAGGCGGATGGGTGCGTCGACGTTTGGAATTTGATGGAAAAGACGCATGAACCCGTCATCAGCGTCGCGACGACTTCCGCGGCGATATCAATCGTGCGACTGTGTGCATTCAAGGCGTCGGGTACGCACGTGATCGCGATTGGGGACGATGTAGGCTCTCTCCACACGTGGCGCCTGTCCAGTGGAATTTCGAACGCGTCAAACAAGGAGATTCGGTTTTCGGAGTCATTCTATCGTCGCACAAAAATCAACGAGTCTTAATTTCTAGTTTCGTTTTGTTCAACACTGTGTTCAACTCTCCATCGCGTCGTTCGCTTCTTGATCGTCCATCTCGGCTTGAATCGCTCGGAGAAACTTCTCTAAGTCGGCGACGCCCGACTCCTTTAGACCAAACTGCGTCATGTCCATCTCGCCGCTCTGGATGGCGTGACTAAACGCTTCTAATTGGCTTCGGAACTGAGGTGTACGAATTAGCTCCTCCAGATCTTCCGTCTCGCGATGCTCTTCCGGGAGATACTCGAGTAATCGGCCTCGAATGGACTCGTCTCGGAGAAGAGGACCGACGAGCTCGGGAGTCAAGATCTCGGGCAACCCGACCGGAGGAGTCCTCGGCGTCGCGCCGCCGAGATTGGCGAAAACACCCTTCAACGCATCGCTAGTTACGATCGGAGTGAAGTTCGCCGCGCTTGCGGGAGTTCGCATGCCCTCCCCGTCCTTGGCCGGCGCCGCTGGAGTCTCCGCCGGTGGCATGTTCGGCGCCGGCGTCGGCTCCACCGGCGAAGGAGCCGCCATCGCCGCCGCATTCACCAGCGCCGGGGTCGTCCCCGGAATACTCGGCGTCGTCTCGGTCCCTTCATCCGGTGCGTCTTCCATCGTTGCCTCTGCGTTCGATCTCTCCTCGCCTCGCCCGAGCGCTGCCATGACGTTGGTATTTATGAGCCGGTTACACTTCATCAACATCGCCTCCTTGTCCGCGTCTTTCGGCTCCTGGAACCAAAAGTACATGTCTCGATCTCGTTCCTCGAGAAAGCTCAGGGCGAAGCATCCCGGCTGCTTCATCGTCTTCAAGACCGCTTCATCTGGTAAGATGATGAAGTCTTCCTCCGCCTCGAAACCGGTGTTCGCTTCTCTCGGTCCCCACTGAATCTGTTTCAGCGTGTCGTCCAGGGCGGCTTGGATAATTCTCAAAGTACCCTTTCTCACGTCCGCGCGCATGGTGGTTCCGTCTCGTCGTAACAACCCGCACTTGATCTCGCTCAAGATGACCTCACCGTTCGTTCCCGTCGACACGCCGTCGACTCTGTTGAGGGTGAAACCGCCGTCCGAGCCGTCGTTCCCGCCGAAGAAGTTTGGCACGGAGTCCATGATCGCTCGTTCGTCGCCACCGCCTCGATCGTGAATCGATCGACGCGCACTGCGGACGACGACGCGCGCTCGAGGCGTCTCGGGCGCGCGCAGACAGCTCGACGGCTTTGAAAACGCACACGAAGACGCGATCGGGCGATGCCGAGGGTGGATCGAGGGTGTGCAGCTGAGACCTAGTGTGTAGGCGAACAGTCTGATTTGAACGCCATGGGCGAGGCCGCGCGCGCGCCGGGGGGCGAACGCAGCCGAGACCGCGCGCGCGTCGTCGCGCGATCGAGCGCGAGGGAATCGCATGAAGCGTTCAGACGCACGCGCGCGCATCCCGCGCTGGGTCCGAGATGGACGCCGTGGATGATGGTTTTGGTTTACGTCGGCTCGCCTTTACAAAAACGCGCGAGTCGAATTACTAAGCCACCCGACGCGATCTAGAACACCTCCAAGACTCTAACGACGCTGAGACTTACTTCTTCCCAGCCGCTTTAAGGCTGCCCTTCTTCGCGTACTTTTGGTTGCGAAGGAACTTCGGATCCATCTGTGAGAGTGAGAACGAGCGCGGTCGGTCAGTACTGGACTTTTGAGGATAACGACGGTGAGCGCGCTCGCGTTCGCGGATTCGCGTTAGAGAACGCCAGTCGACCGAACGTACCCCCTTGGTGGACGGCGTCGTCGGCTTCTTCGGCTTCTTGATACCTACGCGGGAGAAAAACACGTCTCGGTCAGCCTTTGCACTCTTGAGGTATTATTCAGTGGGTCAGGGCTCAACCGCGTTTGGATCCGTTCGTCCCGAACGGCGCGACCGAAGCAGGCGCTCGCAAGAAAGACGATACGATCGATCGAAAACGTTTTCTTTCGACGCCGACGTCGTCGCGCGCGCGAGCGCACTGTCGGCGATCGTGACCGAGTGAGAACGCGTCGGACGTCGCGCGCGTGATTCCACGCTCACGGGCAAGGCGGCTGCATCGCGGTCGTCGCGCACGCACCGTTGCGGTGGTTCTTGTACGACTGGTTGTGCGCGGTGTGGTTGGTGGACTTGGCCATCTTCCGACTATCGACGCTCTGGGCTAGTTCGCGCGCTCGAAAAGACGGACTGCGGCGCGAGCGCGCACGAGGTCGTTCGATTTCGACGAACCTCTTTGAGCTCACTTTTAGTCCATTTTCATGAGTGATGACTCGCCGATCGCGTGACTCTTTCTCAAGCCCTAATCACGAAAACTCCTCGAGGTTCGCGCTCACGTCGCCGCATCCTCCTTTACGCGCCGCGTCTCCGTAGGAAACATGGCCACCAAGAACGCCCCGAGAACGGTCAAGGACGTCCCCGCGCAGGAGTTCGTCGTCGCCCTCGCGCAGTACTTCCGCTCCACGGGCAAGGTACGTTGTTTGATAACGACGCGATCGACGCGATCGAGCTCGACGCGAATCTCACGTATATCGTCGTTGGAGATGCTCGAGCGAGCGCGTGACGATCTGTTCGACGTCCGCGATCACTCTGAGAGATTTCGTTTGGTTCTGTGGCGTCTTCATCGACGTTGCGGAGCCGTCAACGTCGTCGCAACGGGGGAGAACATGCGCGACGGCGCCCTAGAGCTCTAGGGCTACGCGCGTCGTTCACGTGCCCTTCGCCTGAGCCCGTGCGACGTCGACGACGAGCGTGGCCGCGAATGATCTTACGTGATCTTCGTCACACGTTTGTTTCTCACGATCGTCAATCGACTCGTCCTCGAAGCGACGAGAGCGTGGTCGTCGATGGTCGATGGGTTACCATCGACCTGCGACAACCCTCTCTGGGCGGAGTGAGCTGCTTTCGCGTGAAGTGCGTTTTGGACTATATCGAGACTGACGGCGCGATTGCTTAATTGATAAACAGATGGAAGTCCCGCAGTGGGTTGACACCGTGAAGACGGCGACTTACAAGGAGCTCGCACCGTATGATCCGGATTGGTTCTATATTCGTGCCGCTCCGTCGCTCGCAAGATCTACGTGAACGGTAACATGGGTGTGGGCGCTTTGCGAAAGTCGTACTGCGGCGCCGGGAACAGAGGCACGCGCCGTCACAAGCATCAAATTGGTTCCGGCTCTGTCGCTCGCGCTGTGCTCAAGCAGCTCGAATCGATTGGCGTCGTGGAGAAGGACACCAAGGGTGGTCGACGCATCACGCCGAGCGGTCAACGGGATCTCGACCGCATCGCCGGTCGCGTGAGCGTTCCGTCTTTCTAGACACTTGATCGTACATTAATCTCGTCTCGTTCGGTAGCTCTTTAGGAGGTTAGCTCTTTGATATATCAGCGCGATGAGATGAACCAAGCGAAATAACCAAATAACCACGCGGACTCTTGAACGCAGCCATGACGAAGAAATCAGGCACCGCACCTCACTTGCGACTCCCCTCGTTCGACGCGTTCGCTTCGTCGCTCGATGCGATGACGGTGGAGGCGTTGGGGGACGACGCGTACTACGCCTCCTGGTTCGATGACTCCGACGACGCAGAGAACGACGACGACTACGTGACGAACGCAGACGACGCGGACGACGCGGACGACGGATTTCCAGATCTCGGCCTGCGCGAGGGACTCCCTTCGGAAACGTGTAGCGCGTCCAGGAACTCCGTGTACGTCGTGTACGAACCGGGAGACGACATCAAGGGGAGAAGAGAGTTAATCAACCGAGCGTGCGGAGTGTTAGGGACGAGCGAGCGAGACTCAGAGGCTTTACTTCATTTTCACGCGTGGAACTTGGAGGACGCTGTTACAAGTTGGTTTGAAAACGAAAGAAAGGCGCGCGAGGCGTGCGGACTGAGCGATCCGGATGCACAGACGAGCGAGGGAGGGATGGCAACGACGACATGCAACATATGCTTCGATGACTTCGAGCCGAGCGAGCTGGTCACCGCGGGGTGTTCACACGCCTTTTGCACGGGTTGCTGGGCAGGATACATCGCTAGCAAAATTGGAGAGGGGCTGAGCGTCGTTGACACGAGGTGTCCGATGACGAAGTGCCCGATCAAAGTTGGCGAGGCGATGATGCGTCGATTTCTCAACGAAGACGATGCAAAAAAGTTCGATGTCTACTTGGGGAGATCCTTTGTTGAGAGCAACGTGAAGATTCAGCCGTGCACGGGCATCGACTGCGAGCGCTCGATCGTTTTCGAAAACCTGCCCACGAATCCGGTGGCGGTGAATTGTACGTGTGGCAAAGTGTTCTGTTTCTCGTGCGGTGGCGATACGCATCATCCAATACCGTGCAAAGTTGCGAGCGAATGGACAAAGAAAATTACGTTGGATGGCGCCAACTCAGAGTGGATGCTTGTGAACACCAAACCTTGTCCGAAGTGCCAGCGACCGATCTTGAAGAACGGCGGGTGCATGCACATGCAATGCTCTCAGTGTCATACCTCTTTTTGCTGGCTTTGTAGTTCACCGTGGGATGCGGGACCATACGCGTGTTCCAAGCGCTGCAACCAATACAAAAGGACAGAATCAAACAGCAACGAGAATAGGAAAAAACGAGCAAGGGAGTCCCTGGAGCGATACGTGTTTTACTATGAGCGTTATAGGGCGCACGAAAACTCGGGTAAAAAGGCGCTGGAGGACGTGGACAAATTCAAGTCATCCGCGCTCGGCTTTTTGATCGAGTTGCAGCGCACCAGCGAAACGCAGGTTGGTTTTGTGATGAAAGCGCTGAAGCAAGTGTCAAGCTCCCGTCAAATTTTAAAATGGACGTACGCATACGCCTATTTCGAGTTGGCAGACGATGTGCGAAAGAAAAATTTCTTCGAGCACGTTCAAGGCGAGATGGAGCGCGCGCTCGAGTTGATCTCAAGAATGATAGAATTAGACATCAAGGCATTTTTGCCGCCGGATCCCGACACGGAAGACGACGAAAAAGTGGCTCTGGAAAAAGCTATGGCGTACCGATATCCACCCGAAGAGCAAGACAAGCTTGAAAAAGCCTTCGAACAATACAAGACTCTTCTGATCGATCGCACTGCCGTTCTCCGCAAGTCGTGCGATACGTTATGCATAGAGTTGGAGAACGGTTTATTGGGCATGTCAACGCCCATCAAAGGATCTCAACAGGACGCATGAATCGGTGCGCCGCGATACATCTGTAAGATACGATTTGTTAAAGTAGCAGCTCACACTCTCACATCACACAAACTCTATAGATTCTAAACCTACGCCGCGCTCTTGACCTTGCCTGCGATGATGATCAGGGGCAAGTCCAAGTTTGCATCGAGCAACTTGATCCCCTCAGCCACCTTGACGTCGCGAATTCGGATGATCTTACCCGCATCCAGCGCAGAAACGTCAACGGTGAACTTCTTCGGAATGGAATCGCTGCGACACTTCACCGGCACCGTCTTCCTCAAGATTTGCACGAAGCCGCCGCGCTTCACTCCGGGCGAGACGTCCTCGCCGAGCGTCTCCACCGGCACCCGCACGCGCACCTCCGTCTCCGGCTCCACCTCCAAAAAGCACACGTTCTCCACCGATTTGTTATACGCGTGCATATGCACCTGTTTTGCCAGCGCTCGAACGATTCGCGGCGTTCCGTCTCCGTCCGTGACTTCGAGCTCGAACACCTCGCACTGCGTCCCCGCGAGCGTGTGTCTTCGCACCGCCGCGTTGAGCTCTCTCTCGCTCGCCGTCAACAGCGTCTTCTCGACGCTTCCCGGTCTGAACAACACCGCCGGTACTCTCCCCTCCCTGCGCGTTCTCCCCGCGATTCCTTTCCCAGTCCCCGCTCGCGTCTCGCACGTCAAGCGCTCGAACGACGACGACGTCGAGGGTTCGCTCGTTCGATCCCCGTCCCCGTCGCGCGTCGTCGTCGCGAACGACGCGAGCGGCGTCCGCGCGCCCCCCAGCGCGCGCTTCACGAGCGCTCGTCCGAGTGCACGCCCTCGCATCGCTCGAGCGTCGAACTCCGTGGACGATCGATCTGCTCGCTCGCGCGCGAGGCGTCGAGGGCGCGGTGGGACGCGGACGCGACGGACGCCGACGCCGCATGTCCTCGGCGCCCTCGAGCGACCGCGCGACGGACGCGCTCGAGACGGCGCTGAGTGAATTAAAATCTCTCCCAAAGAATCGATCGGTGCGGGCGACGGGGGCGCGCGCGCGCGCGAACGCGCGAGCAACGAACGGGGGCGCGCGCGAGCTCGGGACAACGACCACTGACGGCGCCCGTCGGACGACGACGAGCAGGTGTACGAGAAGCGAGGCGACGTGTACTTTAAGAGCGATAAAAAGCGAGCGACGACGAACGTGAAGCGCGCGATCGAGGGCGCGAAGAGCGCGTAGGAGGGACGACGAGGAGCGAGACAAACCGTCAGGCCGGAGCATGACTGGCGAACGGGCGAGAGCGGACGGGTCGACGTCCAGGGCGAACGCGGGGGGCGTTCCGTCGGGATCGAAGCGAGATGAGATCGATCGTGTGCGGAAATCGCTTCCGATAGCGCTCGCGAAGACGCGATTGATGGAGGAGATTAGGAAGAGCGAGACGTGCATCATCATCGGCGAGACGGGGAGCGGAAAGACGACGCAAATTCCGCAGTACGTGTACGAGGACGAGACGCTCACGAACGGGCTCATGATCGGGGTGACACAACCGAGACGAGTGGCGGCGGTCTCTGTCTCGCGCCGCGTCGCCGATGAAACTGGCACGGAGCACGGGAAGCTCGTCGGGTACGCCATTCGGTTCGAGGATGTGTCGAGCGAAGAGACGCGCATCAAATTTCTTACGGACGGTATGCTCCTCAGAGAGTCGGTTATCGATCCTTTACTCTCCAAATATGGGGTCATCATGATCGATGAGGCGCACGAGCGCACGCTTCAGACGGATTTCTTGCTCGGCACGATTAAGGGGGTGCAGAAGCTGCGGAGGAAGTCGGTTGAGGACGCTCGTGGCCGAGTGCTGCCGCCGCTACGGGTCATCGTCATGTCTGCCACGCTCGAGGCTTCGACGTTCAGCAAATTTTTCGACGGAGCACCCGTTGTCTATTCTCGCGGGCGAACGTTTCCGGTCGACATGTTCTATACCGAGGAACCCGAGGAGGACTACTTGGACGCGGCGATGTGGACAGTTTTGCAAATCAACAAAGAGGAGGCGCCCGGAGACGTGCTCGTGTTCTTAACCGGTCAAGAAGAGATCGAAACCTTGGGTAAAATGCTTCGCGAGAGAGCTTCGAAGCTTCCCGCGAACGTGCCGACGCTGAACGTCGTGCTTTTATTCGCCGCTCTACCGCCTGAGGAACAGATGAGAGTCTTCGAGCAAACGCCTACGGGAACGCGCAAGATCGTCCTGGCGACGAACATCGCGGAGACTTCGCTTACGATCAACGGTATTCGATACGTCGTAGACTCTGGGTTGAGCAAGATGCGCACGTATCACCCTCGAAGCGGTGTGGACGAATTGTTAGTCAGCCCCATAGCGCAGAGCCAGGCGCAGCAGAGAGCGGGTCGTGCGGGACGAGAGGCGCCTGGGAAGTGTTTCCGCCTCTACACAGAAGATGTCATGCCGAGCCTGCCAAAATACGTGAAACCGGAGCTGTTGCGCACAAACTTGAGCGGGGTCGTTTTGCAGCTGAAGGTACGGATCGAATCGTTCGCATTGACTGCTTTTCTCCTGAGTTGAACAATTTAACTAATTATTTATTTCTGTGCAGGCCATGAATGTGGACGACATTTTATCGTTTCCTTTCATAGATTCGCCCCCTAAAGAGGCACTGTTACGCTCGCTTGAATTGTTGTACGCACTAGATGCTTTAGACGACGAGGGGAAACTGAACGACGTCGGACGAAAAATGGCGAGATTCCCACTGGAACCAATGGCTGCGCGTTGCGTAATCGCAGCCGAAAAGGAGGGATGCACGATCGAGACACTCGCGATTCTCGCCATGCTATCGACGGACAGTGTGTTTTACTTCTCTAGAGACTCTAACGGGCAGAAGAACGTCGCCAGGCACAAACTGATGCGAAAGGTGAGCATGTTTCAGAAATAATTAATTATATCTTTTTGATAGAATTATTTCAGGAGGGAGATCATTTGACGCTTTTGAGAGTTTTCAACGAGTTTTCGGCCTGCAGCGCGAAACGAAGTCGCGATTGGTGTCGAGAACACGAGGTGAATCACCGAGCTATGACAAAAGCGGCCAAAATCAACGAGCAATTGACTCGTTCTGCTTTAACGCTTGGAATTAAATTAAAATCATGCGATGACAACTTTGATGCCGTACTACGTTCGCTTGTAGCCGGCTTTTTCATGAATAGCGCATCTAAGGACATGGACGGAGCGTACAAAGTGTTTACGACGGGTCAGAAGCTCACGATTCATCCGAGCTCGGTGATGTTTCAGTCGCCACCTGAGACGGTGCGAATTATTATTTTTTCTTCATTAATTAATTGGTGCTAACTTTTTGCTTTTCACGAGCAGATTCTCTTCAACGAATTAGTAAGGACCAGCAAAATGTACGCTCGAGATGTTTCGAGCATCAAGCGGTCGTGGCTGTCGGAGTTGGCGAGCAAAACGTTCGCAAAGCGCGCAAGGCCGCAATAGAGTGATTAATTCATTTATGACTCTACAACTTTCCCACGTCCATGCCGGGATCCGCCATTCCTATGATTTTCTTCATCCTGTTCACTTCTCTCTTCGCGTCCGAGTTATTCGGCTCGAGTCTGAGCGCTTCTTCGAAATCCATCAATGCCTCGAGGTAGTTGCCCCCAACTGATCTCGCGGTGGCTCTCCGCAGGTACGCCTTGGTGTATTTGCGGTCAAGCTTGATGGCTGTCGTGCAGTCATCCTCACAGAGCTCGTAATTTCCGAGCTTCAGATGCGCCATAGCTCTGTTCGCCACGTAAACGGGGTTTTTCGGGTTCTTGCCAATCGCGACGCCGTAGTACTCGATCGCGTCCTGATACTTGCCTTTCTTGAGCGCCTCGTTCCCTTTTGCCTTCTCCGCGTCTCCGGGTTCCCGAGGAGGATTCAAACGCAAGAGCTCAGCTTCTAAAATATCCGGATACGCGTCCACTAGCTCGACCACGAGATCGCGCGCGGCATCCATCAACATTCTATCCGTTTGGTATCCACCAATCAGTGACAGGCCCTGCGGTCCCTCCACGTTTGGTGCTATGAGAGGAATCGATACCTGAGGTAAGCCGCACAAGCTAGCAATGCATGTCAGCTCAAAGCACTTCTTTCGCCATTCCTCCGTCGCCTTCTCGCCCAATCCACGCTCAGGAGCCTTACCCGGCGTCGTCGGAAGCACTAAAACCACCCCGTTGTCCAACAGGCGATCCATGGTCTCTCGAACTTCCTCGCGAATCTCCTTGAACAGCTCAACTTGCGTGGGACTCAACTTTGCCGCCGCCTCCAACCTACCTTCAACGGCGGGATCGAGTACGGGCTGTTCTTTCTTGTACCAGGGCCCTAAGTTCTCCCAAATCTCCGCCCCCATGGTCACTCGAAGCACCTCTCTGAGGCAATCCAGCCCGCAGTCTTCGCGTCTGCCGACCAGAGCTTGAAATTTCGGACAACCGACGAGCAAGTGTTCGGTGAGATTCATGCGCCTGAATTTCCCACGATCGATCTCATTGAGCGCCGCGACGGCGGCCACCGCGGCGCACTGCGCGTGCGGTGAACTTCGCTTATCGCTCACCGAGTCTTCGAGCAAGTACCAGGCGCTCGGCTTTGTCGGCGCGTGCTCATCCGCCGACGGCAGGAGGACGTCTCCCACGCGCCGCAACACGTCGATGGATCGGGCGAACCAGCCGACGGTGTCGAAACTCGGCGCCAAGGCCTGCACACCTCGCATCGACACCAATCCATGACTCGTACGAATCCCAAAAACGCCGCAGTAAGACGCCGGAATGCGCACCGATCCCCCGGTATCCGTGCCCAACGCGAAGTCGCACCCGCGAAGCGCGCCCGCGCACGCCACCGCGGATCCCGACGACGACCCTCCCGGGATCAGATTACGCGCTCTCGGGTTTATCGGTGTCCTGTAATGTGGATTCTCTCCGTTCACCGCGTACGCGAGCTCATCCATGGTCGTCATTCCGATCGCGCTCGCGCCCGCGTTCAGCACGTCGTCCACGCACTCGGCGTTTCGTTTCGGCGTCTCGCCCGCGGTCGCCTCGAACGCCGGACTCCCGAATCCACACCTCCGTCCTCGCACATCGAATATATCCTTCACCGCGAACTTCATCCCTCGCAGCGGCCCGCTCTCGCGCCCGTCCATCGTCGCGTCCCGTTCGCTCTCGACGAACGCCCCGAGCTCATCATCCGCGCCCGCGTCTCGCCCCCTCCTGCGTCGTCCCGCGCGCGCCGTCGCCCCCTTTCGCGTCCTCGATCGCGTCAACGCCCGCGCGAGAAGTGTACCGATCGCCACGACGACGGTCGCGATCGCTCGTCCGCCCATGTCGCGTCCACGCGCTCGAGCGTGTGACGCCCGCGTCGGTCCATCCACTTCCATCCGGGCGTCTCTCGACCTATCCGCGCGAGTGCGTCGCGCGCGCGATCAGTGATCGACACGCGCGCGCGCGTCGCGGACGATGGAGCCGGAGAAGCGCGCGCGATCGTCCCTCGGCGTCGCGCGCGCGTCGAGACCGACGATCGAGCTCGGGAAACGCATCGATGCGAACGTGGAACCACCGCCGTTGACTCGAGCGGAGGCGAGGGACGGCGAACGGTTTCCCACGGAGAAGCTCACGCGAGCGTTGATACGGGAGGGATGGAGCGAGAACAAACGGCGAGCGCTGGTGATGAAGAGCACGGGGGACGACGGAACGATGGTGAATCCAATGGCGCTGCGAGAGACGCTGCTGCGCTTGGCAAACTCGGAGACGCTGCGAGAAATCAGACGACGGGTGAACGAGACGGCGAAGGAAAAACGCAGAACGCCAGAAATTGGGGCGAGGGATAGGTCGGAGTACGGGCGTGGGATGACAGAGGCGGACTGTAAGCCGTGGAGTGCGCCGGAACTCGTGCACGCGAGCGCGGACGACGTTGAAGCGTTCTTCAAAGACTTGGCGAGCGAAGTAGAACTGAGCGAGCTCGAGCAATTCGTCCCGCACGGGGTGCGAAAGCGAAAGCTGATCGAGAATCTCCACGCGTATCGGGTTTCGTCGCATCGAGGAGTGTGGATGGTGAAGATTGTTTATCTCGCGCAGTACAAGAGAGATGTGGATGCGTGTCGAAACGCTTGGACGGAGGACATCCTCGGGCACGCGCTCGATTCACTTCGAGACGCGCTTTTGACACCCAAAAGCGCCGAGGATCAAGAAACGGAGCTGAAGTGCGTCTTCGGATTGTTGAATCACTCGATTCAGGAGGATTTAGTCGATACTGCAAAGATTTTTGACGAGGTGCTACGTTTCGTGCACGAAAGGAGTTTGGCGGCGTCGAAGTCGTGTTCGGGAACGGCGGCGCTCGTTTTGGCTCGGTCGATGGCCGCTACGTTAACCGCTCTCGTCCCTCACGCGTCGCAGTCACACGAAGATTCGATCAAGTTGGCACAAAAAGTTGCCGTATGTCTGGAAGGTGCTGTGAGCAATGGAAGCGCACGGGCGGACGGTCACCTTGTGACAAGACTCAGTGAGGTTATTGCTTCTCTCGGGTCTGTTAATGCTGACGCTTTTATTTCTGCTCCGCGTGAGCAAGGTCTAGACGTCGTCCAAAAGTTGCGCACGAAAAGTAAGAGGCGCCAAATGCCGTTGTCTCATCGGCTGTGTCAAGTCATCGATGATGTTGAAAAACGTGTGCAGTCACTCACGCATGCGGCTAGTCCGGCGGTGATTGCCATCAAGGTGCACAATCTCGTCAAGCTCTTGAACGAGGTATTGGACAAATCTGGGGATGAAGCTATGATGTCTGAGCTCTCACAAAAGTTCATAAACGCGCAAGAGGACGGCGAAGTTGCGCGGAAGGCGATGGTGAATGTTGCGTGTAGCTGGGCCGTTGACGCATCTGATGACGCTGTGAACGAACGTCAACGAGTGACTCGCGTCTTCCTAAATGAGCTCACCCAGTCACCACGTCCTCTCATCCTGCACTGGATCAAAGAAAACTCTGCAAATTTGAGACAGGAGGATGACAAAATTGGTCGCATATCTGGTTTGCTTATTCAGCTCCTGCAAGGCGACGTTATCAGGATGCAGCAGTTGTTGGATTTTATCATCGCAGAAGGCATATTAGAAGAAAGAATATCGCACGACCTATCGATGGCATTTCACCGATACTTGAGCGATATCGTGAAGGATGACAATGCGAAGCGTGAGATTTTGGATGACTCAACCGCTCAAACGGCTCGACAACTCATTGGGTCGGAAAGTGAGAAGGAAAATACAAAAGTGGTCGTCATACCGGCTACAAACGTCTTGGACTTTAGTAGTGATGAGGAACGGCTTCTGTGCACGTCATTTGCGGAGGTTAGCTATGCTAATTTGGCCTCAAAGGTTGCTGAGTTAAAAGGCGCTCTCAATGCGTCTGCTATTTCGCACAAAACTCTCGGTCGCGTTCTCACCGTCTGTTTGATGCACGATGCGACAAAATTAGGCTTGTTCGCGGAAATCGTGGGTGACATGGGACCTGAAGTGACAAAAGACGTGCTCTCGTACGTCAGCATGGACGTCTTGAGCGTGGAAAATTTGGAGAATACCAACAGTATCTTCAACTGCGCCCATTGGAGAATGTGTGCAGCTTTTGATCGCTGGAAATTCGCGCGAAGTTTGGTCGACTTTCAACTATGCCTCCTTCACAACGTCCCAAAGGGTAAGCGGGCGGTTGCTGAGGGTCTTGTCGAAGCGAACACGACGCAACTCGTCCAGCTCGCGAAGTCTACAAATATTGCGCACAAGTGCCTTCACATTTGGACGCGGATCTTGGTGGTAATTCCACTGATCGGTTACGTCTTAATGTCCGCCTCTGCTTCAAACAAATTTTCGCAGTTGATCCTGGATGTCCTTGACTCAATCATCGGCAAGACGGTAGTTGAAGAGTCTGCCGAAGACATCATCGCCGAATCGGACATGGGCGAAACGCTGGTGGATCGTCTTGTCGCTCTGTTCTCTGTCGTCTCTGTCGGCCAGATCCCGAAATGGGCGCCAGTGGTACCCAAATTACCTTTTCGCGAACTCTCATCCGTCAAACTTGCGCTTTCGAAGTCGATCGAATCGAAAAGCATCGCTGGAATGGTATGTGTTCGACTGCAACGAGCCATCAGTTTGCCGCTTACAAAGCTTCGCACTCGTAGCGTCAATCCTTGGAAGATATTGGCGAGTGGAGCGTCGAGCGATCGGTCGAAACTAAGTGATGCCGAAAAGGCCGAATTCTGGCTCCAAGGTACAGTGAGACGACCGGGAGGAAACCTCGCATGGCAAAATTGCAATGCGGAACCAACATTTATCACAGAAAACAAAATATTGAGTTGAAATTAGAGACTAGGCTAGGTAGCTATTAGGATGAATAGGAATCAATTAGAGCTTTGACATCGTCTTCTTCGTCACGACGCGTCCCTTGTGGCCGACCACGGTGGTGTTCGGCGGCAAGTCATGCATGAGCGCCGCGCCCGCGCCAATTTTACAATCATGTCCGACGGTAATGTTTCCGAGCACGCTCGCGTTCGAACCCACGACGACTCGTTTACCGAGCTTGGGATGGCGGTCGCCCCTAACCTTTCCAGTGCCACCGAGGGTGACGCCGTGCAGGAGCGTGCAGCCGTCGTCGACGACCGCCGTCTCGCCGACGACGACCCCGTGTCCGTGGTCTATCATGATTCCTCTTCCAAACTTTGCAGCTGGGTGCAGATCCATGTTGAAAACCTCCGAGACCAAGCTCTGCATCTTGCACGCCAAAACTTTTCGGTGATGACCCCAGAGCCAGTGAGAGACGCGCTGGGCCTGTAAGCCCTGAAACCCCTTGAAGAAGCAGAATGCGTGCGTGTACGAAGGACACGCCGGGTCCCGCTCGACGATAGCCTTCAAATCCTCCCTCGCCGCCTCTGAGATCGAACCCGTCCCCGGTCCGTTCTGCACGCGATTCCCCTCCTCATTCGTCGCGTTGAGCGCCTCCATGATCAAATCGTTCCACTGTCCCTGAAGTATCGTCGCGTTCGCGATTTTAGACGCCACCAAAAACGCCAACGCGCGCTCAAACGTCGGCTGGTTCAGAATCGTCGCGTACACGAACCCCCCCATGAGCGGCTCCTTTTCCACCAACTCCTGCCCTCCCTGTCGCAGCGAGGCCCATATCTCGTCCCCGCTCGACGCCCGCGTCGTCGACGTCGCGCGTTCCATCGCCACCTTGCTCAGGTCGATGCGCGTGCGCGACATGTCACCGTCCTCCCGCGTCCGCGTCTCGCGCTCGAGCGTCTCCGCCACCACCGTCGCCGGGCGACGTCCTCGCGCGCCTCTCGCGCGACCGATCGACCGATCGTAGCCTCGGTTCCCACCGCGCGCGTCGACGCGAGGACTCGAGTCGCTTCGTGTCATGCGTCGAACGGGGGCGCGCATCGATCGAGACCTGATCGATTTAGGGTTAAGACCCCAAACCCTACCGTCTCGACGTCTCGACCGACGCGCGCGGGACGTCGACGCCGCGTCCGCCGACGCCGCGTTCGATGGCGTCCACGGCCATGGCGTCGAGGGCGACGTCGTCCACGGCGGTGCGGTGTGGGAGACGCGGCGCGCGCGCGACGGGGGGGCGCCGGGGCGCGAGGGCTGGGAAGACGCGCGCGGGGGCGTCCGAGCTCGCGGCGGTGGACGCGGTGATCGATCTCTTGCTCGAGGCGAAGGACGAAGAGGAGCTGGCGAAGACGGTGGCGGAGAACGTGCTGGCGTTCGATCAGCAAATGTGGATGCGATTCGCGTCGAGGAGCGACGGGGCGGAGACGGCGGAGGAGAAGACGCGGTTGATGGAGGCGGCGGGCAAGTGCATGAAGCTCGTCGAGGCCATGGTGGAGCGAACGGAGAGCACGATCGAGGAAGCGAGCTCTGGGGTGCAACAGGTGGTTGGCGCCGCGGCGGATCCCGCGAGCGGAGAGTTTGACGTGCCGCTCAAGGCGGATGCGCTCGAGCGGATGAAGCGCGCGCTGGAGACGGTGGCGGTGGACGAACGCATGTTGAACACCATCTACGCTTGGATTCGTAAGTCGGACGAAAACGGTCTCGATGGTATGGTGCACATCCTTCAACGGTTGCTCCAGCTCTACGCCGCGCGGGAGTTGGACGAGAAGAAGACCCCGCTCGACACGGTTATTCGCGCCACTGCCGAGGAATGGACGATGCACTTCATCGATGTCTCGAAGGACGGTTACAGCGAGACCGCGTTCGTGAAGGATCTTCAGCGACGCATGGAAGGCGTCGTACTCAATCTTCCCAACGGCTCCTACGCGCAGCGCGTGCAAGCGGAGTACTTAAAGGAAATTGAGGACCGGGGCAAGGAATTCTTCGCCAGCCAGCAAGCCTAGACAAAGATTTATTTAATGATAAACAGTCAACTGCTTATTCGTCATGACAAATCTCTATTTTTCATCACCTTCGCTCTCGTCCTTTGACAACTCCCGACCCTTCATCCTGAGTAGTAACGAGTTGCCCATCACACCGAGCGAAGAGAACCCCATGATTGCGCCCGCGACGGAGGGCGTGAGGGACAAGCCGTATGCGGGCAAAAGTGCACCGGCGGCGATAGGTATGCCGACCAGATTGTACCCGAACGCCCACCCTAAGTTTTGCTTGATCTTATTCAACGTTGCTCTGCTCAGATCGATCGCATCGCTCACTTGTGGAAGTCTGTCACCGAGCAAGACGATGGAGGCCACTTCACTCGCCGCGCCAACGCCGCTCGCCATGGCGATCCCTACATCTGCCTGCGCCAGTGCCGCGGCGTCATTGATGCCATCACCGACCATGGCGACGCGCTTACCCTCACGTTGGAATTCTTCCACTAACTCAGCCTTACCAGCCGGCTTCACACCACCGAAGATGAATCTCTCGTCGATGCCCACCAACTTTCCGACGGCTTGCGCTGTTTCGAGTCGATCACCCGAGATCATGATGGTCTGAATGTTCTTATCATGAAGGCGTTTGATCGTATCCATCGCGTCCTTGCGAATCTCATCCTCCATCTCCAGTACTCCCACGATTTTGCCGTCGATACCGACGAACACCGGCGTGCGCCCTGGGTTATCGTTGGAGTTGAGTAGCTCGGCTGGCACGTCTTGGTGCTTCTCATCCTCCACAAAGGCTTTCGTTCCTACGGAGACCAACCTCTTATTCACCATAGCCTTCGCTCCCGCACCTGGGACTTGAATGAACGTTCCTTCCTCGACGTCGTACCTTTGTAATCCACCCTTGTCGGCAGCATCACTTATCGCCAAAGCTAAAGGATGGCGGCAGTTTCTCTCAACCGCTCCAGCAAGCGCGATAATTTCGTCGTCGTTAAAGCCCGCCACCGCTCGCGTATCCGTCAACACTGGCTTCCCAATTGTCAGCGTGCCGGTCTTATCGAAAATGACAGTGTCCAAAGAGCTCGCTTTCTCTAAAATATCTCCCCCACGAATCAGGAGGCCGTGGCGAGCGCCCACGCTAGTGCCGACGAGTACCGCTGTCGGTGTCGCCAATCCGAGGGCACACGGACACGCTACGACGAGAACAGACGCCGTCATTTGAAGAGCAATTAATATCGGAGCGTTAGCGGCCGTGGCTGCGGTCGCAAGCACGCTCGGAAATAGCTTCGTGCCCACTGTGCTCCAAAATGTGAAGGTGACTGCGCTCGCCGCCATCACTCCGTAAACAAATTTCCCTGAGACTTGATCCGCAAGTCGTTGTACCGGCGCTTCGCGTTGCTGTGCAGATTCAACCATGCGAACGATACCGGCAACTTGTGTTTCGTCTCCCGAAGACACGACTTCAATCGTGAGTACACCGTCGCAGTTGACCGTTCCTGCGGAGACGGAGTCTCCCATCGATTTCGGCCGCGGGATGGGCTCACCCGTGATGGCGGCCTCATCTACGGTGCTACATCCGCTCACAACGGTACCATCGATGGGAATTCGATCTCCCGGTAACACGATAATTTTGTCCTTGGGACCGATCACAGAAGTCGGAACGGTACGATAGTATGGTTGGTCGCTGTCCGCCGAACCAGTCGTCGATACCAAGCGTGCAGTCTCCGGCACCAGGTTCAAAAGCGCAGACATATCACTCGTCGCCTGAAGCTTGGCTCGTTCTTCGACTGCACGCCCGAGTAGTACAAACGCGAGCAACATAACGGGCTCTTCGAAGAATGTTGGCCAACCCAACGAGGGAAGCAACATTGCTGCTGTACTCATGGAAAACGACGCAATCGCTCCAAGCGAAACAAGCGTATTCATGTTCGGACCGCCTCTTCGTAAGCTTTGCCAACCGTCAACCAAAATCTGTCGACCAGGTCCAGCCATCGCAAAGATCGAAAGCGTAATGTGCACCGGATTGCTGTGTAAGACTCTGAGCCACGGCGCGCTGGAGTGGAAAAAGTGCGAAAGATGTCCCAACAAGCATGCGCTTGCGAGCGCCCAGGCGACGATCACGCGCTGAGTACTCTCTTTGATTCGTTTCAATCGCTCTTCTCGCTTAATTCTCGCGGCTTCCGCTCCCGTAACGCCCGCGACCGCGACACCGCCGGCGTCTCGAAGCGACGTCGGGAATCCAGCGGCGGTGACAAGGGCTGCCAACTTTGTACCGACCAGCTTAGCGGCTTCTTTGATCGCGTTTTCAAAGTCACTACCCGCGACTTGGGGCACGTCCAAGGTAACTCGCACCACCGCGGACTCATTCGCTAAGTTCACCGACGCCGTACGAACGTCGCCGTGTCCCTCTAATATTTTCCGCACTCGAGCGGCGCAGCTCCCGCAGTGCATTCCGTGCACGTCCAACATCACCACCTCTTCCAACGTCAGTTCACCACGTCCACTCACTCCGACGTAATTGGATTTATCGTGATCGAAACTCGAGGATCCACCGCCTTCGCCACCGTAACCGTCCCCGCCATTCGCACCAGACCCGCCGTCTCCAGATAACGCGAGCGCGCGTCCCGCTCGCCCACTCGCCACCGCCGCCGCGCCTACCATCGCCCACCGCGTTCGCCGATCCGGCCGATCACCATCCTCGCGCTCACACCCACCCCTAGTCGCCCCACATCGCGCGCATCTCGACCCATTCGTCGCTCTCGCGCGCATTCGAGCCAGCGGGTGAAACCGAAGCTCGCGCGTAGACGCGGAGCGCGCGTCGCCTCGCGTCTCCGCGCGCGCACCCGACGACTCCGCGCTCGACGACCCTACGGACCGTAACGTAGACACCACCGTCACCGATCGCGTCGTCGACGACGACGTCGCGCGCGCGTGCGCTCTCAGAGAGCTCGCCTCGCGTTCGATTGAGCCTCGAGCGAACGCGCTCTTTTCGGGCGCTCGACGACGACGTGCGTCGACGCGCGACGCGCTCGCGTTCACGGCGACGCGCATGATGCGTGCGTTGTCGATCGGTCGAACGCTCGATCGCGCGCGACGATGACTGCGGCGCGGGGTGTTCGCGCGCGAGAATCACTTCGTTTCAGGGCGCGTTTGCGTCGCGGCGCTACTACTACAATCTATTCGCCATCGCTGTCGGTGTAATCTCCGAGGAGCCCGGCGAGACCGTTCTCATTCGACGATTTCTCGACCTCGCTCGGTTTCTTCTCAATCGGCTCCTTGATCCGAGCCTTGACGAGCGTCGGCTTCTTCTTCACCACCGCCACGACGGGTTTCGGCGGCTCTTGCGCGGGTGGCGCGTTCTCCACCTCGCGCACCGTCGCGCTCGTCCCTCGCTGTAACGACTTAAATTTCTCCAACTCATCGTTCTCTTCCCTCTTCCGCTTCAACTCCGCCGCTCGGCGTTCGTTTTCCACCTCGTCCAGGAACTCCACCTCATCCGCGTCCAGCGGTCGATTCTTCCCAACCTTCATGCTCGCCCACTTCTCCTGAAACTCCTGCTCTTTGTGTTCCTCACGCTCGGCTAGGATTTGATACAGTGGCTTCCCCGTCTCTCTCCCTTTGTCTCCGCCGCCTCGTTCGCTCTCTCGCATCGTCATCAATTCACTCTCGGTGATGAACTTGCGCTGCACCGCCGCTCGAGCGCTCTCGCTCGTCTCGCCCCCGGTCGTCGACGGAAACACGCTCGCGGTGTCTCGTCCCAGAACCTTCTCCCGATCGAACGTTCGCTCCTCGTCGCGCGCTCGGATCATCGGCACCGAGGTCGCGTCATCGCGCGGTCGCGTCGTCGACATGCCGCGCCGCACTCTGGGACGCTTTTACATTCATTCATGTCCGACGACGACGACGGTGATGCCAACGCCGGGGCGACGACGACGACGACGACGACGACGACGAAAAAGCTCGGGAAGAAGGAACGGATGAAACGTCGAGCGAAAGAGCTCGTCGCGCAGGGCGTGGACGAGGACGAGGCGCGAAAACGATGTGGACTCAACCCACTGCCGAAACCAAAGGCGGCCGACGGAGTGACGACGACGAGAGGGAGCGAGGGAGGAGGGAGGGATCGCGGAGGGACGACGAGCGGGGAGCGAGGACCGTCGCCGGCGTTATTGACGGCGAACATACGAAACGCGCGAACGTTGAGAGAGTTGTACGGGTTGCGGGACAAACACGCGGGTCGGTTGAACCACATTCACGCGAGCGCGATGTGGACGAGCATTGGGAGGTTTGTTTCGGTGGGGGAGGGGGAGTTAAGGGCGCACGAGGAGGCGCACGAGCGATTGGTTCGACAGACGATCGAGCGCGTGGGCGACCGGGGGTGGAAGATGGGGGCGAGGGAGTTGGCGAACGTCGCGCACGGGGCGGCGAAATGCGGACGCGGGTCGACGGACGCGACTTTGATGGAGACTCTGGCGAGGGCGATCGAGGGCGAGCTTGAGCGGTGTAACGCGCAAGAGTTGGCCAATATCGCGTGGGCGTTCGCCAAGGCTGAGCACGCGGACGAGCGTCTGTTTTTGGCCTTGGAGAAGATGGCGTCGACGAAGGCGGAGCAATTCAATCCGCAAGAGTTGACAAATATGACATGGGCGTTCGCCACCGTGGGTCAGGGCAACGCCCGATTGTTCAAGGCTCTATCGCGGTGCGTAGAGCGTCGCGCGGAAGATTTTAGCACGCAAGGGCTCTCCAACACGGCCTGGGCGTTCGCGAAATCTGGTTATGTTGACGCCGGTTTGTTCCGAGCACTGTCACAGTCGGCGCAGCAACGCCTTGATGGTTTCAACGCTCAAGACTTTTCGAATCTCGTCTGGGCGTTCGCAAAGGCGAGCCAATACGACGCAAAATTGTTCACGACGCTGGCGGCGCACGCGGATCGGCATCTGAGCACTCTCAGCACACAAGGGCTGACGAATGCGGTGTGGGCCTTTGCCAAAGCCGGGCACTTGGACGACGCACTCTTCACCGCTTTCGCGAAATCCATCGAGCGACGGATGTCCACAGGAGCAAGCGATTTTAATTCACAAGACATGGCAAACACTGCATGGGCATTCGCCAAGGCTTGTCACCTGGACGACAATCTGTTCACTGCTCTGGCTCGACTGGCCGAGACATGTCTCGATGATTTCAACACACAAGATCTCGTGAACACAACTTGGGCGTTCGCTAAGCTGGGCAAATACGACGAAAAACTGTTTATTGCGGCGCGAAAGTCCATCTTAAACAATCGACTGGATGATCTGGATGCCCCAAACACGGCTAACATCGCTTGGTCGTTTGACAAGGCGAGTCAGCTTGATAAGCGCTTGTTCGATGCCCTCGCGCGCACAGCAGAGGTACGAGCGGATGAGTTCAGTGCGGTTGATTTGGCCAATGTCGCCTGGACGTTTGCAAACACTGGGCAGGTCAACGACAACTTATTTACCGCGCTGGCTCGGAGTGTCGAACGACTAATGGAAGAGTTCAGCGATGAAGAGCTCGACAATTTGGAGTGGGCTTTTGCAAAAGCGGGGCAACAAAGTGTCGTTGAACATCTCAAAATGCAGCGACAAGGTTCGGATGAGATCGACTATTCATCACACAATGTTGATGTGTCAAAATGTGGTAAAATTATAATTGCTGGCGGTGGTATTGGTGGTGCCGCGGCTGCCGTTGCGCTTCAAAGGAAAGGTTTTGACGTGATCGTGTTGGAGTCAGATAAAAGCTTCGACGCGCGTGCACAGGGCTACGGTCTGACAGTTCAAGCGCAAGATGCTATCAAAGCGATGGGGGTTGATATTTCGCACGATGATGCACCCTCCACGTCGCATTACACGTTTTCACCAGACGGGAGCATCATAGGCTTTTTTGGTGAGGCCTTCGGCGCTAAGAGTAAAGATCGTCGAGAATGCCAAAATTCTGGGCGATTCATTCATATTCCTCGACAAGTGCTTCGCAAAAGGTTGATTGAGGCTGTCAAACCGGGTGCGATACGTTGGAACAGCAGACTCGAGAGTTTTACGTCTCGAGAGAACGATAATTCGGTCTCGGTGGCACTGACAGATGGCACAGAGATTGAGGGAGCCCTTTTGGTAGGATCCGACGGAATTTTCTCGTCCGTTCGTCGCCAACTGAACCTTTCCGCGGATCGACTTAATTACGTCGGTCTCTGCGTCGTTCTTGGCATCATCGACGAACAGGTCATGAAGGTACCGCTCGCGCATCGGCGTATTTTTGAAACCGTTGATGGAACCACGCGACTGTACGCAATGCCCTTTACCACTACATCAACGATGTGGCAATTGTCATTTCCGTGCTCCGAAGAAACTGCTCGAAAGTATACCAAAGATGCGGCGAGTCTGAAGAAGGAAATCACGCGCCGCTGCGGGGATTGGCATGACCCAGTTCCGCAAATGTTGAAGAACACTCCTTTGGATTGCATGTCGGGCTATCCTGTTTACGACCGAGAGTTGCTCGAGCCGACGATTTTGCGTCCAGAAGGACAGGAAAGTCGTAGAGTCACGTTGATTGGAGATGCTGCTCACCCGATGACGCCTTTCAAAGCACAGGGTGCGAACCAGGCGATGAGTGACGCCGTGCTTCTTGCCGATTGTTTAGTCGAGGGAGTGCACAAATACGGTCCGAACGCTGGGTTCGAATTCGCTCTGCCAATTTTCGAGCAAAAGATGCTGAGCAGATCCTCCAGAATGGTGGTTGGATCACGCGAAAAGGCTAAGGAGATGCACAGTGCTCTGGCGCTCCAGCCCGCGCGCAAAGGACAGCGTGAAGCTGACTTTGATCAGCAGACAACGATTCGCGTACTCAAGGAAAAGAGAATAGGTGCACAGAATGGCAGTGATCCACGAGGCCTCGACGCGATTGTCGAAGCCGAGGGTATCAACAGTCCGAACAGCGTCGCTTCGGTGGGTACCAAAATCGTCTTTGAGGAGGACAACATTGACGACGACGAGCTGACACAGGGAAAGAAGCGCAAAGCCGAGAAGAAGGAGAAGAAGGAGAAGAAGGAGAAGAAGGAGAAGAAGGAGAAGAAAGAGAAGAAGGAGAAGAAGGAGAAGAGAATCAAGCTCTAGACTGCTATACTAAATGTAAAATTAATTCTTCGCCACCGTACCGGTCGCCTAGGAGTTGAAAGCGTTAATCTTCAAAGCCGTCTTCATCGGCCTCGTCCTCGGCCAAACGGAGCTGTTCATGATAGTATTCAGACTCTTTGAGGGACACGCGCTGCGCTCGCCCTAAGATGAGGCGTATGGCGTCTCTACCATCATCCGCTGGAATTCGTACCACCTCTGGCATGATTCCGTTTGTCGCGAACTCTCGGCGAATGATGTCGTCACTCGAATTCAACGGCGTGGCGTCGATGATGATTTCACTGCCAGTCGTCATCAAATCAGCGGTCTCCGTTATAAAATTCGCCAGACGAGTGTGATCCCAGCCGTGTAAATCTTGCGCCAACCACACCGAGCGCACGTCCGGGCGGTAACCGGCGCGCTCCAAACGATCCTCCAAGTCGCCGTACTCGACGCTTTCTCCCGTGACATCCACCGGTACTCGTCTGTGCGAGCACCCTCGAGACGGTTTCGCCATGACACTCTTCATCACCGCCGCCGTCTTCGCGTGCACGTCTCCGTCCGCGCACTCAAAAATCGCCGTCCCGCTCGGAAACGGCAACCGAAACGCCCTCGTATCCGCTCCAGCCGTGATCACCACGACCTGTCTCGCGATCCCATGCGTTTCCGTACCCTTCTCGTACGCGTTCATCATCGCGCTCAGGCGTCTGAACGCCAACACGTCCATCGCGTGCGCCGCCTCCGCGCTCGTCGTCGCCTCATCCGTCCAATCCTCCGCCCACCCCTCCACCAACGCGTTCGCGTACACGTCCTCATCCCCCCCCTCGATCCGTCGTCGCACCGCGCACATCGCTCTGCGCCACCCCCCCTCGCCCGCGTCGCCGTTCGTCCGTTCCATCGCGCGTCCGTCGCCGTCGACGCATCCCACCGACACGCGCGTCCTCGACGCGCTCCACCGTCTCGTCGTCCTCGACGCCCGCGTCGCGGTCCCACCGCGCGCGCGCGCGGTCGAGGGCGTCGCCGAAGCGTCCCTTCGCCCTTTCCCGGACCACGGTCGCGTCGCCATCGCGCGCGTCGCGCTGTCGTCGCCATCACCCGCGCGATGGTCATCGTCCAGGGTTCATCGACGCCGATGCCGACGACGACGGGAGAGCGACGCGCGCGCGGGACCGCGGGACGCGCGCGCGGGGAGATGGTCCTTCGCGCGGTCGCGCCGGCGCCGACGACGGGCGCGCGCGTGGACGCGCGCGCGAGGCGCTCGCGGCGGATGCCGATGGCGATGACGATGACGATGACGATGATAACGACGACGACGACGACGACGACGATGACATCGCCGGGCGCGGTCGGTGGACGGACGACGGGACGGCGCGGACGCGTCGGTGGAATGATGCCGCGCGCGGTGCGGGATCGCTCGACGGAGGGCTACGCGGACGCGGCGACGGCGGTGAACGAGGGGTTGCGATTGTTTGCGGGGAAGGAGTACGAAGGGGCGACGCGGGCGTTCGGCGCGGCGCTCACGATGTCGCCGTCGGAGGACGAGGCGAGGGCGGCGAGGTATAATCGAGCGTGTGGGTTCGTCAAGCTGAACGAGTACGACGCGGCGAGGGACGATCTCATCGCCGCGGTGAACGAGCATAACTTGAAATTTAAGGTGCTCATGGATGACCCAGACCTGGACGCGTTTCGGTCGACGACGCAGTACGGCGAGGTCGCCGCCGCGGTCAAGGGAGGACAGGGGTCGAACACCATGGTGAATCTTCGTGCGGAGGCGCAGGAGCCGTTCAGGTTCTTCAAGCTGTATCTGTTCGGGGGTCTCGCCGCGGGCGCGGGGCTCGGGCTGTTCATCATTGGCACGCGCCTCGTCAAGGCGTTACAGGGAGGAGAGGGGGCGCCGGATTTGACGGAAACCGTGACAAACTTAGGAATCAACACCGCGGGATTGATCGCGTTCACACTTTTGCTTCGCGGTGAGCTCAAGGGACGCGAACAAATCATCAAGAAGGTTGAACGCGAGGAGGAGTTGGGACGACTGGGCGTGACGCTCGGTGACGGGGAAAAGAGCGTGTTGTTCTCTCGATTGCGAGGGTCTTATCGCGTCTTCGTCGTCGCGGGGAGCGAAGAACACATCAATAAAACGTTGGCGAGTCTGGAGAAGTATAAGGAGAAGCTGACGAAGAGCAAGGTTGTCGTCTTGCCAGTGAGCATGGATAAGACGGATGCGGAACGGGGAGACTTGCCTTTCGGCCAGAGAAGTCGACGGTCTAAGGCTTCCAAGACGACCGAAATGACGGCCGCCGCCGCCGCGGCGCTTCTCGGTGATGACAAAAAGCTTAAGCTTACGCCAGTTGACGTCGGAGCGTGGCAGAAGTGGATCATTAACCAAGTTGAACTGTCCGGTTTCGACCCGACTGCGCGCGACGTTTTCTTTGGCGTGGCAAAGAACGGAACGATTTGGAAATCCGGCGCCGGGATCCCGAACTGGGCGAAGATGTTTGAAGAGTTACCGGATGAAGATTCCCTTCAAGGCAAGGTCACTGGCGTTTGATCGACGGACTTTTAATACAAACAGTACCATGGTAGTCGCAGGCAAAAGTCTCACGCGCTCGCCACTCAAAATGAGAAGAGAGAGAAGAGAGAAAGCATCGGGAACGGAAATAATCCTAGCGGTGGAGGCGTCGACGGAGGCGACGGCGTCGGTGGTGGCGATGGGATGGATCCGTCCGTCGGCGACCACTCGTACACGCGCGAATCGGTAGCTAAGCCGATGAACCCCTCACTCGCAGCGACGTGAAAATATACGCCATATTTCCTAGCCAACGCGCATCCATCTCCCCAGCTCACAATTCCAACTTGTTTCGAATTCACTGACAAAGGACCACCACTGTCGCCCTGACACGAGTCGATGCCTCCCTCCACGTAACCCGCGCAAATGTGGCTGGGCAAAATATCTGCAGGGTTGTATGAACCAGCCGAAGTGCACTGAGCGCGTGATACAATCGGTACGTCGCCTTCGATAAGTTGGGAGCTAAGTCTACCATCCTCTCGCGTTCCCCATCCGACGATTTTCCCCATGATTTGCCCCTCTGCGACGACGTCGGACGGATCCCACGACAGAGTGACTGGCACATACATTTGAACATCGACCGGTGATGCGAGGGTGAGGACGGCGACGTCATTGTCAAAGCTAGAGCCATCAAACTGCGGATGACCATTAATTTGCGTCACGTATGACGTTACGCCTGCATAGACATCTTCCTGAGCGCCCAATCTGACATGAACCGCGGAGTAGTCATCAACGTTTGACACGCCTGCGTCGTCAAAAAAACAGTGCGCAGCTGACAGTACGTGCGTATCAGTGATTAGCGTTCCGCCGCAACGGAAATATTCGTTCCCTCCTTGCACCATAAATATGGCAACAGCGTGTGAGTACTTCGTAATATCGGCGGGGACTTGTCCTCCTATGATTCGAGCTGCAACATTTCCGAAATCTTCTTGATAGCGAGCCTCCGGCGCTCTGCGTTCGCCAACAAGCGGTGTGTCCTCGCGGGCGCGGACGTCCTGCGCGGACACTGCGCTCACTAAGCACGCGACAACGAATACGAACAGCATCGTCGAAATGCACATGATCGCGGGAAGACGACGTGTAGTGAGGCGAGTGCTCGCACGAGGTAGACCAAACATGTGGATTCCAAACTTCCGTTGTTGACAAATAAGTACTACAAACCTCCTCCTAACTCGGCCATTTTGCTGGACCACGTTGCAAACGTGTGAGACAAATTCTGAAATGCCTTGGCTTGCACGCTCGGATTCTCACGCCGCGCGGCTGCTTTGGCCTCCTGTTCCTTGAGGATGTCAGGAACCATTGTTTCCATGGACTCAAGAATGACGGCGAAGGACGGTCGATCCGATGCGTTCTGCTGCCAGCACATTTCAATGATGGCCGCGAGGCCCGCGTGCGTGTCCTCGGGAATGTTAGGTCGGAGACCTTGATCGGCGACGGCCGTCGCTATTTGTATCGCGGTGGAATTATGTGGCTGGTACGGCTCGATTCCAGTCACCAGTTCGTGCAGCAATACTCCGTACGAGAAAACATCGGCTCGATTGTCGTAGTGCTCGCTTCGAATCACCTCAGGAGCCATGTAAATGTATGTCCCCGTCTCACCCGTCAACTCCTCACCGTTCGCGGCGACGAAGCGCGACAGACCAAAATCTGCCACCATCGCTCGACCATCCGCCGCCACGAACACGTTGCTCGGCTTCAGGTCCCTGTGCATCACACTAGGCGTTCGACTCTCTAAATACGCGAAAGCGCGCGCCACATCCATACCAACGTCGAGTCTTTCGCTTAACGAGCGCTTCTGTCTCCCACTTTCGTGTAACCACGCCTTGAGAGTTCCTCCCGCCGCGTGCTCGACGACGACGTCGCACCTCGACTCGCTCAGCGCCGCGCCGTAAAATGCCAACACGTTCGGATGTCTCACTCGAGCCATGATCGCGCACTCCCGAGCGAACGCGCGCTTCGCCAACGTCGTCTTCAGCGCCTCGATGCGTTTCACGACCACTCGAGCGCCGCGCCATCGGGCGAGAAACGCTTCGCCCGAGGAGCCTTTACCGAGCGAGCGCTCAAACGAACACGACGCCTCGACGTCGATGAGCCAGTCCTCATCGCGGGCGCGTCGTCTGAGATCGTCGAGCTCTTCCCAAGTACCCTCTTTTTCCACGGTGTCGTCGCGCATGACGACGACGCGTCGAGAGGTGCGGCGCGAGGAATCCAAATGTCTAGGCGCTAACGTTACACAACAAGGCACGCTCTATTTCTTCGCGTCGAGTTTCTTCGCCTCTCGCTTTCGCTTCGCCGCGGCCGCCTTGGCGAGTTTTTCCTCTCTTTTCTTCATTTCGTGCGCCGCCTTGGCGCTGTCGCTGTGCTCGGGAGCGACGTTGTTCGCTCGCGCGCGAACGTGGCGCATGAGCCAAGCCTCGGTGACACGCAGCGCCGAGGGATGATCCTTATACTCGTCCATCTCTCTGAGCGCGCTCAGGCGTGCGGCCTCGGTGGCGAGTTCACCCTTGTTTGGAACGACTATGTGTGTGACGTTGGACGTCACTCGAGACATCACCGTTGCGCCGAGCTCCTTGAGCCGCTGTTCCACGTGCGCTCGGGAGCGAAACTGTTCGTATGCTCCGCTACGCACGACGGCGACGCATTCGAGAGGGAAAGGTTCGAGTGGCTTCGCAGATTTCTTTGCCGGGATAGTTCGAAAGCTCTTCCAAAGCTCTTGCTGACGACGAATCGTGTCCACGTCCCCATCGAGGGCGGAGATGACCTCCGCCTTGACCTTGACTTCGTCGTCACCCGCCTGTTCGTCTTCGCTGTCGATGACGACAATGACGTCCGATGTCTTCTGTTTCTTCTCCGCGACGCCGCCATTTTTGAAGTAAAAGTCTATCCGCTTCACGTCGTATTTCAGATCCACCAAGTCAAGGAAGTGCTTGTTCACCAACTTCTCTCGTTCGTTCTCGGTGCTCGCATTCACCGTCGGCGTAATCCTCTTTGGCTTCAAGAATTTTATAAACTCTCGAAGCTCTGTGTAGCTGGAGTGCTCCGAGTAAGGAACGGCGTACGTGCGCGTTCGACCTTCATTCTCGATCCATGGTTCGACGCGGAACTCCCCATCCTTTTCCATGCTTTTCCTGTAGCTCCACCCCGTGGGAGAAAAGGCCACGACGGCGCCCCACCGTGGTGCCTCGTTTTTGATGATGTCCATCATCGCCCGATGATTCGATCCCTTGCCGAGACCGCACACGCGCACGCGGCACCTCGCCGCCTCCTCCGGGTTGTCGTCCTCGCACACGAACAGGTCATCCCGCCACCACTCGCTCAGCACGAGCGATCTCTTCCGTCTCGAGGTGACGCTCGCTCGCGTGCGCGCGCCCTGGCACACCGCGCGAATCGCTCGCTCCTTTCCCACCGAGTACGACCCGCACAGAAACAACGTTCTCGGCTCCCGTTTCGATTCCTCCTCCGCAATCTTACGCATTGCCTCCAACACAACGTCCTGATCCGGGAACGTCCACTTCTTCTCGCAGTACGTCGTATCCAGATGCACCTCGTCCGGCCCCCCGTCGACGCACCGCGCCAGACATCGCGCCAAGTGTACGTCCTCTCGCACCCGTCTCGCCGCCCTAAAATCCCCGGTGTGCAACAGCGTCTCATTCGTCCGCACGTTCCTAAAGAACACCAAACACGCCCCCGGACAGTGATTCGCATCGATGAACGTCACCTCGATCTCCGTGTCCCCTAAAATCGTCGTCTCTCCCACCTCCAACGCCTCGACGCGCGACGCCCGCACGCCGAGCACCTCGATCACTAATCTCGCCGTGATTTTCGAGCAATAAATCTTCGGCGCGCGCCCATCGATCGCGCTCGACGCATCGACGCCATCGCCCGTCGTCGTCGCCCTCGTCGTCGTCTCGGCGCGTCCGTACGAGGACGTTAATCCGCAGTAATGATCGGCGTGAAAGTGCGTCAGCACGCGCGCGACGTCATCGGGGGATTGAAAGTTGAACCCGTCCACGACGACGCCCGCGAACGCGGGCGCGCGCAGACGTTTAATCGCCCCGCACTGCGACGCCATCGCGCGCGCGCGCGCGTGCGCGAGGGCGCGCGCGTGTGTGCGGGACGGACGACAGAACGCGACGCCCGTGGACGATGCGGGCGCGTGGGACGTCCGCGACGACGACGACGACGACGCGAACGTCGATCGATAGGTCGAGGAGATGGCGACGGTGCGGCGCGCTTCGGGCGTCGACGCGGGACGACGACGGGCGCGACGCGACGGCGCGCGAGAGCGATGCCGAGGCGTTCGAGGAGATGGTCGTCCTGCACGAGAGCGAGGCGGTGGTGATCGTGAATAAACCGCGAGGGATGAGCTTTCACAGTGAGTTCGCTCCGGGGGCGCTGGCGAGGCTTCGGACGCAGATGGGGGAGAGGACGGCGGTGATGTCGGTGCATCGCTTGGACAAGCCGACGAGCGGGATTTTGGTCTTCGCGAAGAACGCGCGCGCGCGAGACGCGCTGAGTAAGGCTTTCGAGGAGAGGGAAATTGTGAAGTATTACGTCGGGATGTCGAACAGAAAGCCTCGGAAGAAGATGGGCACGGTGCGAGGCGACATGACGCGCTCGAGAAGAAAGGCTTGGATGCTGACGTCGACGACGGAATCGCCGGCGGAGACAAAGTTCGTGAGTTTTGGCGCGCGCGGGATGGGAGAACGAGCGTTGAGAATGTTTGTGTTCAGACCGATGACGGGAAAGACGCATCAGCTTCGCGTGGCGGCGAAATCTTTGGGTAGTCCTCTTCTGGGCGACGACACGTACGGCGGCGAGCGAGACGTGGATAGGACCTACTTACACGCGTGTGCGATTCGGATCCCAAAGAGCGTGCTCGGGGAGACGATTCAGATTATTTGCAGTCCGATAGGTACGGGCGATGAGTGGGACCCGGCGGCTTTCGATCGGTACTTTCCAGAGTCGCTCGCGAATGACTTCGGTGCTTGGTTTGACGACCAACCGCTCCTGCGATCGACTGTCGATGGTGACGCAAATGAACAATGACTAGCTCTAGGTTGCAATAGACTATAAATTCAGCTATGATGTGGGACACCGACGATGACGTCGTCCCGTATGCCGCTCTGTGCGGGCATTTTAAAAATGGAAACTTCGTAGTTGTTTTCGCGCGCAAACGCGCCTCGATCAGTTTCAATCGCTGTCTTCGCCAAACGCGGCAGACGAGCGAGTGGTTCGTTTGCATCGGTGGGATCGACACCTTGGTGTCCACTCCAATCCGCCAGAGCCGCGGCGTTCATGTACGATTCAAAATCAAAACCAGCGGCTCGCATGAGTCTCGATCTCGGACGCTCGATTGAGTTTGGTTTCTCGATGGAGATCAAATCGTTTCTCATGCGATTCAAGCTTCGCATGCCGCCCTTCTGCACCTTCCCCACGCAGCATGGCGCGATTATGAATGGAATCCGACGCTCTATGGCTTGATCCATCACAAAATCGGTCGCTTCGCCGCACACGTGAAGCGCGAGCGCCACGTCGGCGTCGTCGAGCGTCGTCTCGCTCTCTTCGATGAGACCGACGCGCGCCGAGACGTTCGTCATCCCACTCTCCGCTATGCGTCGATTCAAAATATCGATACTCACAGGATTCAAATCGATGCCAACGAATTTAAGTTGGGGAAAGAGCGCCGCGCACGCCATCACGACGCTTCCCGTGCCGCATCCAAAATCCACGACTGTTCGCACGTCTCTCCCGCTCGCCACCAACGATCGCAGGTGCGTCGCGAACGTCGCCACCTGATTCCGTTTTCTCAACCCTCTGGCCTCCCCACCCTTCGCGTTCTTATCGAGCGGATCCGCCTCGCTCGGCACGCGCGTCCAATCCACCGCCTCCGCCTTCGTCTTCGTCGCCGTCTCCGTCCCCGCGCGCGCCAAGAACGCGCGCGCCAATCCCTCCACCTCCCGTCGCATCGCCAGCTTATTCCGCGCTCGATTCCGCTTCCTATGTTCGCGCTGTCGCCGCCGTCGCGCCTCCGTCTCCTCTCTCGCGCGCGCGTCGTCCACGTTCGTCGCCGTCGTCGCCGTCGACGCCTCGCTCGAATCCTCCCTCGATCGTTCATCCCTCGTCGTCATCGCTCGCACCGCGCGTCGCGGACGACGACCGCGCGGCGACGTCGCGCACGTCCTCGCCCGTCGCCACGCGCGCGCGCGCGCGGTCCAGCGCGTCGCGGTCGTCGTCGTCGTCCGACGCATGGCCGCGTCGCGAAGTCCGACACAGTGCGACGCGGATCGATCGCGATGGGCGACGCCGACGCCCCCAGGGCGCCCGCGACGGCGAGAGGGGGGACCGCGGTCCCGTCATTCGTCCTCGACGCGATCTACGGGAAGAAACCGAGCGCGAGCGCGAGCGCGAGGGCGCGCGAGGGCGACGAGACGAGCGAGACGACGAGTAAGTCGGAGGCGTACGACGCGTCGCTTCGCTCGTGGTGGCGCACGTACAGCGAACGGAAGAACGATGAGGATGAAGAACACGTCGCGGATTCGTTGCTGTACGATTACAGACATCTGCCGAGGACGACGCCGGCGCCGAATTACTCGGAGGACCGGTTGAAGCCGGCGGAGCCGGACCCGAGAAGGACGGGACGAGGCGAGGGTGAGAAATAGGGAATGGGACGAATGTTACAGTGCGCCGCGACGGTACTTTTAGTTAGAATGATTGATGTGTGATGATGAATAAATTTTGTGTGTCGGACCGACGCAGTGACGGAGTTTTTGAAACTCACGGCCACGAGGCGCCCGCCATTACGGCCTCGACGTCGCGGACATCGCGAGGGACGTTCGTCCACGACTCGCACCCGGTCTCGGTTATGAGAATATTGTCCTCGAGACGAACGCCGCCCATGGATCTGCACGCGTTGACACGCTCGGGGACGAAATACTGCTTGATGTCAGATTCAGGCGCCATGGCTCTGTCGAGTAGAAGGTTGATGAAGTAGCACCCGGGCTCCACCGTCATCACGTTACCCGCTTTCAACGTTGCGGCGGTGCGACAATTCTTCAGACCAGGTTCTGTGCTTCGTTCGGGCGCTCCTGGGAGTCCGTATCCACCGACGTCGTGCGTGTCGATGCCGAGATGGTGACCCAAACCGTGCGGCATGAACGTGGCGCTGACTCTCTTCGTCATCATCTCCTCAATGTCTCCGACGAGAAATCCGCCGTCGACGAGAGCGCGGAGAATATGTCTCTCGGCGAGTCGTTGCATGTCGAGCCACGCAACGCCGGCTTTGAGAGCCGAGATAACGGCTTTGTGCGCGGCGAGAACGCCTTCGTAGATGATTCTTGCGTCCTCTGTAAATTTGCCTCCCGCAGGCACCGTCGTGGTGATGTCGCTCGCGTAGCAGGCGTATTCCGCACCCATATCCATCAAAACTAGATCCTTGTCCTTGATCTGCGTCGCATTCGGTGCACCGGCGTGGCCGTAGTGAAGCACCGCGCCGTTGGCGCCTGCGGCGCAGATGGGCGTGTACGCCTCGAGTCGCATACCTCCCTTACTATAGCACACGTGCTTGAACAACGACTCGAGCTGGTACTCCATCATCCCGGGTTTGATCGACTTGATCACCTCGACGTGCGCCATGGAGGCAATCTTGTTCGCGTACTTCAAAACCTCTTGCTCGCGCGGCGTCTTCACCGTGCGCAGCTCTGTGAGCGCGTTGAACAGCGCGTCGCTCGTGTCGAGCTTATCCCCGACGGCCGCGCTCAAGCTCGAACCTAACCCACTCGTCGCGTCCCCGCTGTCCGTGTTGGTTCCGTGCAGCGCGTACACGCGCTTCTGTCGCTTCAAAAAATCTTCAAACTCATCCGTATACATGACGCGTTCGCACATGTACCGCTCGCCGAACGATTCCGCGCTCTCAATCGTCCCCATCCAGATCGCGTACTCCTCGGGAAGTCTCGGAATGAACAGCGTGGCCTCTCCCGTGGCCAAATCTATCGCCCCCGCGCAGTCACCCTCCTCGACGCCGAACGCCCAGTGAAAGTACGACTCCTGCCGGAACAGCGGTTCGTTATCCGTCGCGTCTCTCCGCCGTTGTTTCCCCCCCGCGAGCGCGAGCGCGCCCTCGACGTACCCCCGCGACCGCATCTCCCGCACCGCCCGCGCGCGGTTCTCCGCGTGCAGCGCGCGGTGCACGCGCAGCGTCCCCGGTCCTCGCTCGAACGTCGCCGACGACGTCATGACCGTCGTCCACCGCCGCCTCGCTCGCGCCCGCGCGCGCGCCCGCGGCCCGACCGCGCGCGCGCCGTCCACCGCCGACGTCGACGACGACCCGCGCGCGCGCATCCGTCGCGCGCGAGCGCGCGCGTGTGCCGACGCGTCGTCGATGGCCATCGAACATCGACCAGCGGCATCGTCGGACGCGTCGAGGACGATGCCTCGTCCCGCGCGCGGCGCCACCGCGCGCGCGGTGCGCGTCGTCTTCCTCGCCACCGTCGTCGCGCTCGCGCGAGGGACGTCGGCGACGCGCGCGCGCGGGACGTGGGCGACGGAGACGTACACGCTCGTCCCGGGCGCTCGAGCGATCGATCGACGGGTGCGATTCGGTGCGTCGCACGCGTACGACGTGCGGGACCTCGACCCGAGGACGTCGTACGAGGTCAAGGTGTCGCACCGAGCGACGGACGCGGGGGCGCTGGAGGTGCGGGCGGAGGCGTACGGGGGGGGGCGCTGGTCGCGCTTCGGCGCGGCGAGCGGCGGGCGACGGACAGAGCTGAGACGTGCGCTTTTGAGCGTCGAGAAGACGATCCTGAGCGCGAAAACGCTCGGGAACGGGGTGACGCGAGCGAGGGTGACGGTGCGCGCGGAGCGCGAGGGGGTGTATTGGCGGGGCGAGGCGGCGGCGCCGAGCGAGCTGACGTACGACATCGAGGTCCGGCGCCTGTTCGCGAGCGGGCGATTCGGAGAGATTCCCGCGGAGGCGGTTCCTATGATTTGTCTGTGCGTCGTGTTAATCGGGATCGCGTTCGCGGCGTCGGATTCTGTCTCGCGAAAGTTCGTATGGAACGCGTACGATAGACTGGCGGAGGAGCGGGCCCGAGCGACATCCGAGGCGCACGCGCGAGGCGAGACAAATCTCCAGAGAACGTGGACGGAGACGCTCCCGGTCCCGTCGGACACGCTCGAAGCGTCGTGAAGCGTCGTGAGACGACGGCGCCGAGCGCTAAATTCCTACCTACTACATGTAAATACAATACGTCGCCAATACGCCAGCTATTTCGACTGCTCCGCGTCCCGACGCATCCCTCGAACCTCCTCCATCATCGCCTCGACGTCGCCCGGGCGTTGTCCGTTCACACCGACCACGGGATCACCGAACGAAGCGACGTCGACCTCCGGCTCTCCCAGACACACACTCGCCCAGTGAAATTTCGCGTACGTCCGTCGCAACTTGGTGAGCGTCACCACCAACGCCTTCCCTCCGCCCGTACTCTCCTCTAGCTCCCAATACGAATCATCCTTCACGATTCGCCTCGTCAATTCGCCCTCGAGCAACGTCTTCCCCTTGACCACGGCGTGAATGGACTTTGTGGAGATTTCGACGAGGCAGTCTCGCGCGCGCGTCGACGCCTCCACCCGGAACGCGACGACGATCTCTCGCTCGTCCTGCGTCCAAGAGTACCGATCCGTGACGCCTCCACACGACGCGGCGCTGAGTGAGACCACGCCCGAGGACGCGCTCGACGTTCCTAAGTTCCCGCTCTCCGCCATGCGCGCCAGTTCGAGCTTGAGACGAATCTGCTCGGCGTCGAACCGCTCGTCATCTTTTCTCCGCTCCGTGGTTCGTCGACGACGATCGAGGACGTACCAGTACGCGAGAGAACCGACGAGGACGGTCGCGAGGGCGATAGCGACGCGCGAGCGGTCCTCGGGACGGGACATCCCCTGTTGACGCGTCTGTGTGGGGCGCGGCATTTCAAACGAGCGCGAGGCGTTCGCCTAACTGTTTGAAGACAAGATGAGTTGGACGCATGTCAAAGGTGACGGACGACGTCTACGGCGCGACGCGAGATGATTGTGATTCGACGGATCTTTTGGTTCGATGGTGGTGTTAAATGAACACCATGTTTGGTTTTTGCGCCTCGCGAAGCGAGAGCGTTTTTTGATTTTTTGAATTCTACGCGTCGGTGAGAGGTTAAATGAATATTTAACCGCCGAAGCCGTAGAGGGTGCGGCCTTGGCGCTTGAGCGCGTAGACGACATCCATGGCGGTGACCGTCTTTCTGCGAGCGTGCTCGGTGTAGGTCACGGCATCACGGATGACGTTCTCGAGGAACACCTTGAGGACGCCTCGGGTCTCTTCGTAGATGAGACCGGAGATGCGCTTGACACCACCACGGCGAGCCAAGCGTCGGATCGCCGGCTTCGTGATGCCTTGAATGTTGTCGCGAAGGACCTTGCGGTGACGCTTGGCGCCGCCCTTTCCGAGACCCTTACCACCTTTACCACGGCCAGACATTGTTGTTTTCGAACGTGTCGATTAGTGACGACCTGCGCGCGCGGTCGGGGCCACGGACGCGGGCGCCGGTGAGTTCGCGGTGAGTTGAAAATACTCCGTGCGAGTCACGACCCATGAAATTATAGGGGTAAAAAGTTCATTTCACACAATCATTGATGCGTTGATTGTTTCTAAATGGCACACAATGAGTCATGAACCACAATGCGTGGATTTAAAAACAATCAAGTGATGCATGCACGTGAAAAATGGGCATTTCAAGTAAATAGAGAGTAATGACTCGTGTATGACCCCCTGCTTTCGAACTCACCGACTCACCGGCGCGCGCGGTGAAACGCTCGATTCGATCGCACGGCGTCGTCACAACTCGACAGTCAATATGGCCCGTACGAAGCAAACTGCCCGTAAGTCCACCGGTGGCAAGGCCCCGCGCAAGCAACTCGCCACCAAGGCGGCCCGCAAGTCCGCCCCGGCGACCGGCGGCGTCAAGAAGCCGCACAGGTACCGCCCGGGTACCGTTGCGCTCCGTGAGATCCGCAAGTACCAAAAGTCCACCGAACTTTTGATCCGCAAGCTCCCGTTCCAACGCCTTGTCCGAGAAATCGCGCAAGACTTCAAGACGGACTTGCGATTCCAATCCTCCGCGGTCCTCGCGCTCCAAGAAGCGTCCGAAGCGTACCTCGTTGGCTTGTTCGAAGACACCAACTTGTGCGCGATCCACGCCAAGCGTGTCACGATCATGCCGAAGGACGTGCAACTCGCCCGCCGCATCCGCGGTGAGCGCGCTTAAATTAACCACCATCAGAGTGTTAATTTAGTAGCGATAAAAAAAAAACAAGCGAAGGCTTCGGTCGGCGCAAAAAAACCAAATATGGTGTTCATTTAACACCACCACTTCCGAAAAAGATCTCTTCCTCGTCCACCCCTCGACCTAAATAAACCTCGATAACAAATTTCTATATCATTCACTAAGTCAATCGAACACGCGCTCTCCCGTGCTCATCGCCAACCACGTCGTCGCGCCCAAGGCGTAGACAAACGCGGTTACGTACAAAACGGCGCTCCAGTTCCCGCCCGTCGCCTCCAAGACAGCGCCGGTGGCGTACGTTCCGACCATTCCGGCGATGCTTCCCGCGGTGTTCGCCATCCCGTGTAACACACCAGCGTACTTGGGACCGATCTCTTGGAAGTTCACCAGAAAGCCGGCTTGTGAGAACGACATGCACCCGCACGCGACGGTGAGCGTCGCAACGGCGCGCGCCGCCGTCATGTTCGCGCCGTTCACAGCCAAGACTAGCAAACACAGCGACGGTCCGATGAAACCGACGCCTTGAATAAATTTACGCGTACGAGTCGTCGTCCAGCCGCGAATATTGATCAAGTTATCCGCCAAAGTTCCCGCGACAATGCCGCTCGCCGCCATGGTGGCCCACGGGAGAGCGCTGAACCACGCCGCGGTGCGAAGATTTACGCCGATGACCTGCTTGAAATAGAGCGGCATCCACGCTAACAATATGAAAATACCCCAGTTGTTCACAAAGTTGGCGATGATGCACGCCCACGTCGGGGCCTTGGACAGCAAAAGTTTGAACGGAGGCGTGCCCCGAGTCGAGCGGTCCACGCGTTCCGCTTCCGTGAGCGCGCCTCCCGGGAAGTCAACGATGTGACGCAGCTCGTCCGCTCCGACCATCTTACATTGTTTTGGATAAGTCGTCGCGGCGAGTTGCCAGATGATAGCCCAAACGAGGCCGAGCACACCGAAGACGACGAACGGGCCCGGAACGCCCGCGCGCGCCAGGAGCACGGGCGCGGCGAGTAATCCGATCATCGAGCCGCTCTGGAAACCGCCCATGGACACCGCCACCGCGCGCGAGCGCTCGGCTCTCGGGACCCATCGAGATATGATGTTATTCATGCACGGAAGCGCCACGCCCTCGCCCAACCCCATCGTCGCTCTCGTCACGAGAAGCGGCGCCAGACTCTCCGCCGACGCCGCGAACGGCGTGAAAAGCGTCGCGAGCGACCAGATCGCGATCCCACCCCCGAGAACAACCTTCCCACCGTACGTATCCGCCAACCATCCCCCGACGAGCGGGGTCAGGGCGTACCCCCACAAGAACGAGCTCTGCACCAACCCCACGGCGCGTTCGCCCCAGCCGTTCGCCGCCGCGAGCGGAACGCTCGCCACCGACATGATCACCCGATCCGCGTTACACAACATCAACGCGAACGCGACCAAACCGACGACGACGAAACGATACCCCGTCTTCCCTCCCACGTCCACGCCCTTCGACCCATCCGTCGCGTCCGCCGCCGTCCGCGTCCGCGTCCGCGCGTCGTCCCGCGACCCGTCCCACGCCCATCGTCCCGCGCCCATCGTCCTGCGCGCCATCGTCCGGCGCGCCATCGCGTCGACGCCACCGTCCACGCCCTCGTTCGCGCGCCACGGCCGTCGACGCGCGCTCGTCGCGAACGCGCCCGTCGTCGTCGCGCGCGCGCCCGTCGTTCCACATCTCTCACGCGTCCGTCGCGCCCGTCGCGTCGTCCGCACCGCCGTCGACGCCCGCGACGCGCGCGTCGTCGTCGGCCGGGTCG